TCTGGAAGCAGTAGATAAAGCAGTACGATAACTTCAAGTAACTACGTGGCAGTAACTTGTGAGCGTCTGGCAGGTGAGGTCTAGAGGTAGTCTTACGTCTGGCAGAGAGAATGATACCTGGCCCAACATGTTGTACCGTAACCTGGAACAATAAATAACTTGGTAATACAAGGAGTTAGTTATCACGGTCACCTATACCTTGAGCTTATTCTGCCCAGGTGACGATATTCAAACAAATTAACTAATTTATTTCATATATATATATATGTAGCTAATTCTACTATACAGGATGTCTCAAAAATAAATATATACACATTTTCGTGGCCATAACAGCAACATTGTCCTTGTTTGGGTGTACATTTTTTGAGACACCCTGTTAATCAGTGTATGTACATTTTTGAGACACCCTGTATATCAGATAAAGCACCAGCTGAGCATAAAATTACAACTCATGTGTTAAGGTGTTTGGAAACCTTCTTCATCATACCTGGTCATCACGATCAGGTGGTGAAGAACGTCGTGGTGAAGGACTGGTGATGGTGTTGTTCCGAGGGCCTGACACACACGCTCAGCTGCACACAACCCCTCTGCTAAGTCATGGTCACCCAGGGGCAGTGTTGTGGTGTTGGTGGTGTGTTGCTGGGTTAAGTTTGTGTTGTGTTTAGATTGTAGGATCCTTTTGGTGAGTGAGGTAGATCTATGAGTTTTGTTATTGAAGGAGTCTGGTCTTTGTATTGGGTGTTCTTGGGGTATTGCTTCAGTCTTTCTCGAGGTTGAGGTTGAAAAGCTGATTTTGGATTCTGTGGTGAAAAACTCGGGGTTGAGATGTCGTTTGGGTGAGTTGAAACTTTTGGGCCCTGAATTGTTGGGGTCCGTTAGATATCCATCGTCTGTCTGAGGCCTAAGACTCTCATTCTCGCCTGAGTTTGTGTTCTTTACCTTCCTGGTCTCTCCCGGGGGTGTGAGGAGGTGGCCGAGGGCGTGAAGAGTAGCTACGGAGGCTCGAGCATACGCCTTGCGGGACACACAGCCCAGGTCGCTCCTCTGTGGGTCATTATTGTTGTGGTTCATCTGGTCCTCTTGTATAGTGGTGGCCGTCTTGATCTTCTTGACGGTGATCTTATCCAGCTTGTTCTTCACGGTTTTGACCTTAGTTGCTTTGTCTCTTATTGTACTTACACCAGCCCTCACAGCACTGACCTTATCGATACTGTCAAGACCAGGGATTTCCGGATCAAGTTTCTTTTGAGCTGGAGGACCTTTACTGGTGACGTGGGTCTGTGCTTGGTATCTCGCCGCCCGCCCCTCCTGGTCTCCAAAAATTTCATCGTCTCGTCGCTTCCTGCCTGGTGCTGGCGGAGGTAACATTACGTTGACCTGGTTACCGTTGTTACTGTTGCTGGCGACGTTGGCGTTGTTGTTGGCCACGTTACTGTTGCTGTTGATGTTATTGTTGTCATTGTTGTTGTTGATGTTGTTGGCGATGTTGGCAATGGCGTTGAAGACGGTGACGGCCATAGAAGCGAAGGCCATCTGGGTGAGGGAGGCGGCGACGGTGTCGGCGTAGGAGGGACAGGAGGACCCGCCGCCTCCACCACGAACTGGTAAATACATCACTCCGTTATCTTCACGGCGTCGTCTGACGGAGGGGAGGAGTCGCTCAGTTCCTTCCTCCACCACCTCTGCCACGTCCCCCACCCCTCGCACACCTCCCTCAGTAGCTGCACCTTCGTCGTCCGGGGACTTCTCTCTCATTGACTTTAGCAACACCGAAAATACCGTCGGGAACTGTTGTCCGAAGGAGGGGTAGTGGCCGGGCGTGTGTGACTGGGAGGATGGCGGCGTGGATGGCGGCGTTGAGGGCGGCGTGGAGGGCGGCGTGGAGGGTAGGTGGTGGTGGTGGGTGAGACTCAGGAGGTTGTTGGTGATGGTGGAGGTCGTGAGGTAAGACAACCACTGAGGGTAAGTCTCCTCAGAGGTCCTCAGTCTTCTCGCCTCCAAGTTTTCAGCGACGTGATCCTCAACCAGCCTCTTGATCCTCTCCTGGAACTCTGCCGCACTCTTCTTGTAGCTGTCCCACTCAGCACCTTCCTCCTGGCCCCTCGACGTTTCATCAGCACCTTCCTCCTGGCCCCTCGACGTTTCATCCCAAGTTGGCCAAACATTCTCATAATCCAAGTCCATCTTCACACTTGTCCCCTGACCACCACCACATAGCCACAACATCACACACAACAACACACTAGTAGGTCTCCTCAGCACCATATCTCCTCTGGTAATGACCGCTAACACTACTCTAAACACACCACGTCATCTACAAGACCCTGAACTTAACACTTCAACTCACGTGCCAGCGAACACTTACAACTGTACTGTACTTCTGGCTAAGAATTTCTCCAGCGAACAACACACTGCTGAGATCACCCGAATGTCACAACACCGTCACGTGATGTTGTACGGCAGAATGAGACGATGTTACAAAGAATGACATTTGTTCGTCATTGTCTTCCCACTAGTGACACAATATGGGGCCATAACCGTGATAAATATAGGTGATTTAAGCTACCACATGACGGAACTAATTACATCGGAGGAGGTAACGTGTCATGCAGGTCCTCTTGAAGCTCTGAGGAATCACTGAAGGGTGGGTGGGAGTTCAGGCGATTATATGGTAAAATGGACAGTTGTGTCAGGGTGGAGGTGTAGTGTGCCTGGTGATCATGATGCAATGGTGTGTCGTCAACCCCCACACACACACACACACACACACACACACACACAAGTCACATGCAACCGTATTATGGCATAGCGTGTTTGAAGAGGGAGGAAGGAAGGAAGGAAATTGTTAATGAATATATAAATGATTCAATAAATAAACTAATATATTGATGGATGGATGATAGAAGAGGCGAATTATTGAATAAATGAAAAACTAAGTAGACAAATAAAGTAATGAATTAATTATTGAACATAGAATTGAATAAATGGCCCCGCTGCCGTTTTCTCCATTATGTTCCTATATATACATCAGCTGACGAGTGTTTTGATCAGCTGACGAGGGTTTGTTTACATTCTGGGAACAGGTGACGACAGCCCTGACCAGTGACGGCGGACCTGACGAAGTGGTGGAGACTGGTGGCGGCGCCCGTTACTCTCTGGTGCGTCACGAAGCTGGGGATGAGAACACCTTGTTTGGTTAGGTTAGGTAATAAACTTGAATAATTACAAGAACTATGGGAAGGATTAATAAGTAGCTTAAACAATAACTATTTTGTAGAGAAGATATTTTTGGGGGCCGTGTATGTATGTATGTGTCCCTCCCTCTCTGTGTGTGTCTGTCTGTTTTTCTCTCTGTGACGCCGTTCGAGACTTACCTGACGAAGACATTGAGCCAGGTGTCCAGGGGTGTGTGAGGGTGCTTGAGGCTACCACACAGAAGGAGTCCTCTACACGATGGGGAGACCTGAGGGGAGTTCTTCATCCACTCCTTCACGACCTTCATGAATCCTACAGCCACTTCCGCTCTCTGCTGGGGAAGTTTTGGTACACTGTCTCCTTTCTGAAGCTCCTCCCCTGACACGCCAACGACCTCTGAGAACACTTCCGCTGTCCTATTCTTGTTCAGAGGTCCTATCGTCTCCTGTTGCAATTTCCTTTTCCTTTCCTGTTGACGCTGCTGTAGGAAGGTGTCGAGGGAAACGTTGGAGTCAGTAGGCATGATGGATTGACGCCAGGTGTTCCTTCGGGAGTGTTTCTGTGACTCTTTCTGTTTGAGTTTCCTTTCTTGTTTTACCTGCTGTAAGATGTGGTTCAGGGAGATGATGGTGGTGCTAGGTCTCGCCTCACGCCAAATGTTCCTGACGAAGGACCTTCTCTTACGTCCAGGGTTCGGTGGTGGCAGCATGACGTTCACCTGAGCTGCGTTGTTGACGTTGAGGGAGAGTTGGGCGTTGTTGTTACTCAGGTTGTTGTCAGAGTTGATGTTATTATTGTTGTTGTTGTTGTTGATGTTGTTGTTGATGTTGACGATGATGTTGAAGACGGTGAGGCAGATGGTGAGGAAGGCCATCTGGGTGATGGAGACGCCAGCAGCATCAGCAGCTGTTGGGCACTGTACCTGCGTCGTCCCTCCTACAGGCAGGTACATCATACCTCCCTGGCTACGACGCCGCCTGCAAGAACAGTCAATATACACGTCACTAACACTAACAAATAGTGTCCTTTTAAGCCCTTTGATTACGATGACTTAACTCCATGAGTACGATAATCTTACCCCATGAGTACAATGACTTGACACCCCTTGAGTACGATGAGTTAACCCCTAGAGCACAAAATCATAATTTACAGAGTACAATGACACCATACTCAAGGGGTGATCATCAACCAAAAAAGAAACAGTTTGAAAGAAAATTTTAGTCACCATAAAAAACATTCTCATATCATATCTCCATAAGTCTCTCTATCAACCCTGACACAATACGCTGACTCATGCATCCTGTTACTCATTAATAAAATCCAGTACCTCATAACCTTACAGGGACACCTTATCAATATGACCTCGATACCACAAACAATGATAAACAAAAGTGACTCGATTTACCCAGTCATATGATCCGCTGACTTACTAACCTCTCAGTGCGTGAAGGGCTGAAGGTGTTGAGATCCTCCTTCACCATCCCCATCAGGAGGCTCAGTATGGTGTTGTGTCTTGATGGTTCCTTCACTTCTCTGGCCACACGAGGTAGTCCAAATCGTGTGTCTTGCGTTGCTTGTGTTGCGGGGCTGACCGTCGACTCTGAATCTGTTTGTGTGTTGGGAGATTCAGATTGAGGAGGAATTTCTACCGAGGACTTAGACCTACTGCTGGGGAGACTCCTACCTTCTGAGTCCTTGTCGTCCTTCAGGCTGTGTAGGATACGAAGGACGGCGTTACGACCCGTGGTGAACATAAGCCACTGATGAATGATAGTGTCCTTGAATCCTTCAGCCGCCACGATCTCCCGGAGTCTATGGTAAGCTTGTCGGTGATGCTGGAGAGTTCGTGTGAGTAGTTTACGGTACACTGCCTTCTTGGTCTCTCTCTGGAGGTCACTGTACTGCCAGGGGTGACTGTGACCCTCGGAGACTGAACTGTCACTCTTGTCAGTTGGTAAGCTGGTGTCATTCTCACTCACCTGGGCTGTGTTGTGTTGTGAGTCTACTGTTTGGTTGAAGTTCCTGTTTAGAGCTCTGCTGCAGGAGTCGCTGTTGTGGGAATTCCTGTTGCTACTGTTGTTTCTGTTGGCTGGGTGTCTTTCGTGGAGTTCCCTGGCCGTGTCCACCACCATGCTGGCCAGGAGGTCGTGGGCCTGTTGAGGATTGACTGTCATTACGCTGTCGTCGCTCCAGGTAAAGACAGAAGGGGGAGTTGAGTCGAACTGCACCAGCATCGCCCCCCACGAGTACCCGATCACCACCGTCTGCAGTAACACCAACTCACACCAGCCCATCTTTATTGCCGGTGTTTTATAATAACTGTTAACATTTGTTTCTGCTTATTTTCTATTTGTTAACAGTATCTGGTAACTCATGGTAACAACACTCATAGTATATATTGGCGCCATCTTGGTTCATCCTCGTCGACTCTGTTATTGTTGGTATTACGATCTTAAGTAGTAGAGAGAACACACACACGCACACACACACACACTGCTCACACTCACACACACTGAGTATGAGTGCGGGCAACCATCACCACATTTCTTCACTTACACAGCGCATTCAACCAACCACAACACAGCATCCTGTCGACTCAGTTCTATCTCCACCAATCATCGCTCCTGCTGGAAATGTCACCTTCTCGTTCGTCACCAATAGGAAATTAGAATCTGGTTAGGTGAACAGTTCAATAATTATACTAATGGTATACGAATATAAGTTTGGAAAAAAACAACTGAATATCAAAGTAGTAATTTATTGTATGTAATGTAAAGAGATACATTTAATACTGAGAATCGCCCTCGTAGTTATGAGGACATCAGCTGACGAGGGTTTGTTTACATTCTGGGAACAGGTGACGACAGCCCTGACCAGTGACGGCGGACCTGACGAAGTGGTGGAGACTGGTGGTGGCGCCCGTTACTCTCTGGTGCGTCACGAAGCTGGGGATGAGAACACCTTGTTAGATTAGGTTAGGTTAGGTTAGGTTAAAGGAGGGAGGAATGCCAAGAAAACTATATACTGAACGTCTCTCTCTCTCTCTCTCTCTCTCTCTCTCTCTCTCTCTCTCTCTCTCTCTCTCTCTCTCTCTCTGTAACTTACCTGGCCAGGACATTCAGCCACACATCTCGGGGCAGGTGACGTTGTGTTGTGAAGTTACGACACAGGTGGAGGCCCCGACAGGCAGGTGAGGCCAAGGGTGACTCCTTCATCCACCCCGTCACCACCACCGTCATCACCCTCTCAGCCACCCCAGCGAACCCCTGCTTAGTCCTCCTCGTCAGGTTAACCGCGTCGTGTGCCACCTTCCTCACTCCAACACCTTCTTGAAGCTGCCCAGTATTGTAAGAGCTATTAGGAAGGTTTATCACTTCCTCTCTTTGTCTCCTTATCATTAGCTTCTTCCTCTTATCTCTCTTCCTTTGGTTTGTATCTTGTATCTCTTTCCCGTATGTGATCAAGTGTTGTTTTGATTGTTTCTCCTTCACCACCTGATGGAGGATGTGATCGAGGGAGTCACTAGTGGTGGTGTGAGGGAGGACCTGGTGCCAGTTGTCCCTAAGTGTGGCTCTCTTCCTTCGTCCTGGGATAGGTGGTGGCAGCATGACGTTCACCTGAGCTCCGTTGTTGACGTTGAGGGAAAGTTGGGCGTTGTTGTTACTCAGGTTGTTGTCAGAGTTGATGTTATTATTGTTGTTGTTGTTGTTGATGTTGTTGTTGATGTTGACGATGATGTTGAAGACGGTGAGGCAGATGGTGAGGAAGGCCATCTGGGTGATGGAGACGCCAGCAGCATCAGCAGCTGTTGGGCACTGTACCTGCGTCGTCCCTCCTACAGGCAGGTACATCATACCTCCCTGGCTACGACGCCGCCTGCAGGAACAGTCAATATATACGTCACTAACTCAACAATAAAGAGGACCTCCATATAACGGACTTCTCTCCATATAATCCGTTAGATGGCGGGTTTCACATCTAACGGACCCTCGATATAACCGATTTGTTGCGTCGTAATAAGTGATGTCACACTATGTTAACTTAAAAGATAAGTTTCTATTTACAAACAATATAACAAACTATGGATTAAAATACATATAATAACTACTTAAACTATTATGCAACAAAGTAAAGTTATATATACCAGTGAACCTTATGACACCAGCACTAACGACAATACACAGAAGATATATGAAACTGATGTCATTAATGGATCGTTGAAAGTTGTAAACAAAACCTTGGCGGTGGAGGTAATTATATTGTCAACTTACCTCTTATTACTTGAGAAGTTAGGAGAACTTGGGGACGCCTCCGTCAACCCCCCCATCAGGAAGGTCAGAAGGTCATTGCTCTTTGTTTTCATCCTTGAAGACGTTATGAGCCACTGCTGTAGGGTGACTTCTGTAAGACCTCGAGTCCTCACAGTCTCCAGGAATCGTCGATGAGCCTGCTGGTGGTGTTGGAGTACCTGAAGGAGGAGTTGACGATATTGCTCCTTCTTCGTTTCTCTCTGGAGGTTGTCATTATACCAGATGCGGGTATGATTGGTGTAGGAATCTGGAGTGTCTGTACCGATGTGGATATTAGTGTGGGTGTGATTCCTGGAGACTTGATTGTTGATTTTATGTGTATGGAAGATGTTGTGAGCCTGTGATAGTGAAGACCCACATAGTAACGTCAACAGTATCCAGCAGGAAAAATACCACCACATTGTAGTGACGTCTCTCAAACAGTAATAACAGTATCTTCTAAAATATCACCTTTAAATCAATACCTTGTCTTAACTTAACGGTGAAAACAACAAGACCTTTTTTAATTATCAAATCGCCCGGAAATTCACCTAAAAAAAATCGATTTCCTGTGGCTACGTCATACGATATCATAGAAAACGGTTGCTCATTCTTCAGGTATAACTTCCATAATTATTATCATTGCGTTATACGTGAACGAACACCACACGCTATTGATCGCTACAGGTGTTATAAAGTGTTTTAAGCATTACGGGGTTTAATTACAACTCATATAATACGGCTAATGGTAACAAAATATTCAGCTTGATTTGACACGACACGAATTACGATCGATATATTTGGTTTCTCACTACCGTATATTTGTGAACACGGGAGAGTGAACACCTCCTCCCGTGTGTGTCCAGGAGGCGGCACTGACCAAGGAAGGGCTAGCTGGTTGGTTGGGTGGTGTGGGTGGCTCACAGATGGCGGTGTTATATCAGTCGGCAAGTAACGGGGTACACACTGTTATTTTCGTGACACACACACACACACACACACACACACACACACACACCTGTTTGTTTTTGGATATTTGCTGAAGTAGATACAGTCCGTTAGCCACTGTGATATATGAGTGTGCAATTTTTAGCTTTGTGTGTGTGTGTGTGTGTGTGTGTGTGTAATGGTCCTTCTACCTCTCTCTTCCTATATATCTATATCTCTTTGTCTAACCTAACCTAACCACCCAAGGCAATGGTAGGGTGTTTAATCACCAGGTAAAATAAGCTGGGGTGTGTAAACTTCATGTGAGATGTAGCGGGCGGGGTGTGGGCGGGGTGTACAGGTAGGCGGGGTGTGGGCGGTGTAGGAGAGAAGGTGGAGGTGGAGAAGATCTTGTGTTGAAGGAGTGGGCGTGGTGTAGGCGGGGTGTGGGCGGTGTTGGAGAGAAGGTGGAGGTGGAGAAGATCTTGTGTTGAAGGAGTGGGCGTGGTGTAGGCGGGGTGTGGGCGGTGTAGGAGAGAAGGTGGAGGTGGAGAAGATCTTGTGTTGAAGGAGGGGCGTGGTGTGGGGGGGTGGCGGTGTAGGAGAGAAGGTGGAGGTGAGAAGATCTTGTGTTGAAGGAGTGGGCGTGGTGTAGGCGGGGTGTGGGCGGTGAGAGAAGGTGGAGGTGGAGAAGATCTTGTTGAAGGAGTGGCGTGGTAGGCGGGGTGTGGCGGTGTAGGAGAGAAGGTGGAGGTGGAGAAGATCTTGTGTTGAAGGAGTGGGCGTGGTGTAGGCGGGGTGTGGGCGGTGTAGGAGAGAAGGTGGAGGTGGAGAAGATCTTGTGTTGAAGGAGTGGCGTGGTGTTGGTCTTCTCTACGCCCTCATGAATCCGTTACTCGTTGGTCAGGCTTCGGGAGGTGTGTGTGTGTGTGTGTAGGGGGGAGGGGGGGTGGGAGCGGTATGGGAGACGACAGAGGCTACTAGTGGGTGGTTGTGTTAGCCAGTCAGTGTAGCCCTGACTAGCTGAAGGTTCGTGTCAGAGAGAGAGACAGACAGACAGATACACAGACAAACTAGACAGAGAAAGAGAGAAAAGCGAGGTGGAAGAGATAAGTAGAAGAAGAATGGATAATAAAAGTAAACAGAAGAAGAAGTGGTAGACTGGATAAAGATTGTATCAAAAGGACTGCAGAACTAAATCCTATAGGACTGTTCCTCATGGAGTCATAACACTGGTCTTGACTATCGTACAATAACCAACTATTATCGTTTTACTGCATCGGAAATAAATATACTAACGTTGACGTGTCGTACCGTAAGTGTTTGGTGTTTACATAAAAAAAAGATTAAAGTTTAGTGAAATATTAAAGTGACAGTAAGAGATGAATAGTGAGGTTTAAGTTACTTTTATGTTGTTAACTCGTGGTGGGTGAAGGTGGGGTGATGGTACAGAGGAGCGTGATAAAAGATGGCTCGTGGTGTGTTAGTTGTGTTGATGTGTGTAGTTCTGGTGGTGATGTTGACTGAGACACCAGCAGCGTCAGGAGCACGATGGGTGATGGATCTCAGTTACGATGATACGAGTTTCCATCTACAGGAGGAGTACCGTCGTGTTGACCCTCAGGCGGCCCAAGTGAGGCTCTCCATGTTCCTGGCCCAGGAGCTGCAGGCTGGTGGGGACAAGAAGGACGCAATTCGTGAACTTCTCCACCAGGCTCTGAAGGAGCACCGTCGACGCCTGCCACAGATGAGACGACAGGTTTCCACATCTGATGGAGGATTCAACGCGACGTCGCTGAAGAAGTGGTTTTCTTCGTGTGTCCATCACCAGGCGCCAAATTCCTTCTTCCAAAACCTGGAGCTACGACACAGCCAGAAGGTCGGGATCATACCAGCATCCCTCAACTCCATAGCCAGACGTCGGAAGGCGGACAAGGTGAAGTTAAGACGTTCTGCAGTAGACGGTAGAACGAGAGGAGGGTCTTCCCGGCAACGTGAGGGAGGTGGGCGTGTGCGACGTGAAGACCCGGCAGTGATGTATCTTCCTCTGGGTGGAGACTCTGGTGACTGTCCAGATTCTGTCGACGCCGCCGCCGTCAGCATCTCACAGCTGGTGTACTTGTCACTGTCTCTGGGTGTCTTCACAGCCGTGGCCAACATAGCCAATAACATTAACAATAACAATAACAACAATAATAACAACAATGACAATAACATAAACAGCAATAATCTGAACTTCGCCGCCAACGCTAATGCGGGGAACCAGATTACTGTCCAGCTGCCGCCTCCTTCAGGCCGTGGAAGACGTGACCTTCACGCTTTGTGGCAGCAACACCTGGGGGCCCTCAGGCACCGCAGAACCACCAGGAGCACCGAGAGCCTCACACACAGACTGAAGGAACGGCGTCATTCAGGTACCTGGTCTGGGTCGTTGACAGAGCCTGACGAGTCTGAGGCGGCCACACACGTGACCACCACCAGTGACGTGACATCAACAAGTGACCCGCCGGTCATGGCTTTAGACTATGATGTAGGACAACCTCAGACTACAAGAGGCAAAGATACTAACAACGTCCTCCCTGGATCATCTCTGCCTGACGAAGATAGTATAGCATCCCTCACCAAGGAACAACCTAAACCATGGTCCACCATGAGAGAGTTCAGACGATACTCGACGAACGGAATTTTGTCCGGGAAAGAAAATTTAGTAAGTTCCCTGAATGATCTAATCCTGGAGGAACATCATCGTGGAATCATAAAAATAGCGAACCGTCATGACCACTACCTCCCACTCCAGGAGGTCCCTCGCCTCTTACGCCACCTCTATCGTGAGTACAACCCGACGGAGGCGTCCGTAAGTTACCCACCTGGTGTTGAAGATAAAGTTCTCACTGTCACCCCGACTCTCACGAGTCTCACGCTGCCAACACTGTGGTTCTCGGGAGGGTCTGGTCCCGGCAGCCTTCCACCACGTGCTCCAGTTCAAGATTTGTTATCATCCTCGAGACATGACGCCCCAACCATTGTCCTGTTAACAGAAGACGCGACATCATTATCCTCATCAACAAGAGACGTCTCACCATCACCTACATCAACAAGAGACGTCTCACCATCACCTACATCAACAAGAGACGTCTCACCATCACCTACATCAACAAGAGACGTCTCACCATCATCTACATCTACAAGAGACGTCTCACCATCATCTCCGTCCAGCACCTCACTACCAACACCCCCAAACACCACCACTACCAACCCTTCTCCTCCTGTTAGTGCAGAAGGCATCGGGGCAACTTGGGCACTGAAGGCGGCCATGACGTGGGCGGTGCAGGCGTCCATGTCCTCACCACCGTGCCTGGGACGCCGTCTGTGCCAGCTCCTGAAGACGGCGCCACAGGGAAGCATCTGGAGCCACGCCTTAGCTGGGTGGGTGTTGGAAAGTGCACCTGGGTCCAAGTCTTAATAGGTTCCAATCCCTACAGACCTAAACCTAACCTAGCTTAGATTAGGTTAGATTAGGTTTCATTAGACTGGGTTAGATTAGGTTAACTTAGACTTGACTATGTTTAAGCTAGAGGGGTTAGATTAGGTTAGGGATTCAAGGACAATAAGAAATAACTACATCTCTCCCTTAAGGATCTGTGGTCGAAATATTGAAATGTTTATAATTACCTGTCTTAATAGTACCATATATTATGAAATTTTGATAATTAATTACGCTTATTAATATGGGGACACTTAATAAACAGAATTTCCACCTTTAGGACAGTCTGGTCGAATCACAGAGACATTTCCGTTAAAAAAATTTTGCATTTCCCTTAATTGGGGGAATGAGTGGGCGTCTATTTGGTTAACCTGTTGAGAGGGACCGCAGGTGAGAGGGACCACAGGTGAGAGGGACCACAGGTGAGAGGGACCACAGACGTTACCTCACAAGTACTTCTCTCTCTCTCTCTCTCAGGTATTATCTACATACGTCTCTCGCCCGCCACACCACTTACACCTTCACTGACTATCTGAGGGAAGCGCAGCAGGGGAAGTGCCATCTCCTCTTTCCAAAATGCTGGGACTCAACACTCTCCATCGTCTACTGAAGGAGGTGGTGAAGAAGGAGGTGAGGAAGGCTGTAACTTGTGATTTAAAGTATTTTTTCATTTGGATTTCTAAGTCCTGATGTTCCTCACTGTATCCTGAAGGAGGGCTTAGGAGGCTAATCACACGACGCTCTCCTCCAGAAGATCCTGAAGGAGAAACTGAAGGCAATACAGGCATACAATCTACAATCCTCCTCACTAGTGCGTTTACAGTGGCTTATCAGGTTTTGTACAGTGTGGCAACCCTGTGTTTGTTTACATTCGACAGAAGGAAACTCACAATAATAAACACACTATCGAATCAAACTAAAACAACATTAAAACAAATATCTCAATGTAATGATTTGTGGAATATATCGTCGACGAGCCCCTGTAAACGCACAAGTGAAGGGGACTGAACTGGCGAGCCCCTGTAAACGCACTAGTGAAGGGGACTGAACTGGCGACCCCCTGTAAACGCACAAGTGAAGGGGACTGAACTGGCGAGCCCCTGTAAACGCACTAGTGAAGGGGACTGAACTGACGTCCCCTTGTAAACGCACAAGTGAAGGGGACTGAACTGACGAGCCCCTGTAAACGCACTAGTGAAGGGGACTGTATACCTAGATAGTGCAGGTATACAGTCCACCACGATACATACTAGACATATTCCTTATCATACACATCCTCACGGTTCCCATTGACATAAACCTCTTTCCTTATCATAGTATCTCTCTTGTTAACTGTGTTTCCTCGATAAAATAATTAGGCCACTTTCTCGACACCTGTCTTTACTAATTACCAAATATAGGTCAAAGGTTAAAAGAACACATTTGCAAAATATGTATGTATGCTTGTTTGTATGATTGTATGTATGATTGTATGTATGTATGTATGTATATCACACTTTAGGGGACTGTAGTACTGGGAAGACATACACATACTCAGATACCATGACTCAAGTATACTGTGTATGATAAGGTGTATACACTCCCACCTTATGGTCAGTTGTAGGTGAGTTAATTAAGCTAATATTTTGTTCTATTGTTTTATGTATTTCTGAAAATAATAGAATGTGATCTATATTGTCCTAGATCTATTAAAAGAAAGGTAACCTGACCTATCCTATCCTAACCTATCCTAACCTAACCTAACCTAACATAACATAACCTAACCTTACCATTTTCCTCTTCATTTCTCGTTTATTCTCGTGTGTATTGTGACCTTGTTCTTATCTGATTAGCTTTTGTTAATGTTTTTCTTTGTTTTGTGTTTTTTTCTTTTTTCTTCTCTGTGGCTTCTAATTATCTAGTTTTACCCCTCCCTCCCTCCCTCCCTCCCTCCCTCCCTCCTCTTTCATCATTCGCATTTGTTATTATTTTAATATTTTTTTTTATATCCACAACTAGTTAATATGTTCTGTCTGTCTGTCTGTCTTTATGTCTGGCCGTGCTCTCTCTCTCTCTCTCTCTCTCTTGTTTTTCTCTCTATCACTTATTCTCATCTCCTCTCCTTCTTCTCTACCTTTTCTCCCATTTTTACCTTCCTTTTACTCTTTTCTCCCTCTTTTACTCTCTCTCTCTCTACTATTTTCATTCTCTCCCCCTTTTCTCTCCCCTCTTTATCTTCCTTCCCTCACCCCTTCTCCCCCCCCTCCCTCTCACTTACCTCCACCATCATCATTACCCCTCAATCCATAACCATTTGCTTTTTAAGTGAGGGAGGCAGAGCGAAGGAGTTGTTGACATACTAAAAAAAACTTGCTATTTGTCGACAGCTATTTGTTGATACTCCATTTTTGGCGCGAGAATGTGTTATTATTCCAGTCATATTCGAGGCTGACTGGCTGGCTGATTGGTTGGTTAACTAGCTACTTGTGGGGCCTCGTTTCAGTTATATTCGGGGCTGACTGGCTACTTGTGGAGCCTTATTCCATTCATACTCGGGGCTATAACCTAACACAATCTAATTTAACCTAACACAATCTAATTTAACCTAACACAACCAAATATAACGCAACTTAACCTGACACAACTTAATCTAACTCAACATAAACGATCATAACACGACATAACTCCTTAGGTAGTGTTAGGGGTATTTAATTATCAGGTGAAATAACCTATGGTACCAAATCATGACGTGATCCCACTAGATAAGGCGAGACCTACCTGAAGGTGGTGAAGCCAAGTAGTAGACTCCTTCGGCCGTGTTGTGCCACTCATCCAGACATCACTCACCCGCGAAGTCTTGCTCACGAGTCAGCCAAACCAGCTCTTAGCCGCCATGTCAGTAAAATCAGTCAAGTCAGTCAAACAGATCTCTACTGACGATCACCTCACACGGAACGGTTGATTAGAGGTGACAGTAATCAGGTAATGGTACAGGTGTTGGCAGGTAGGTGGTGTATCGTGTTACTCTGACCGACCACGCCCTAAGTTATCATCAGAAAGGTATTGTGGGACTGTTGTGAGGCCTGGGAGAGGTGTAGGGGAGTGGGAGAGGAGTAGGTGGAGTGAGAGAGGTGTAGGTGGAGTGGGAGAGGGGTAGGTGGAGTGGGAGAGGGGTAGGTGGGGTGGGAGAGGAGTAGATGGAGTGGGAGAGGGGTAGGTGGGGTGGGAGAGGGGTAGAGGGAATGGAAGAGGAATAGAGGGAGTGGAAGAGGAGTAGATGGAGCGGGAAAGGTGTAGATGGGGTGAAAGAGGAGTAGGTGGAGTGAGAGAGTAAATGGAGTGGGAGAAGGGTAGTAGAGGGCACACCACTAACTCCACCATGACAACAGAACACCACTAAATCCTTCTCTACTGTTAGACGCCATTAGCATAGTGGTACCATTAACACCACCACTAAAAGCTTGCATGACGTATGACGCCTTGTGAGTGGTGGTACTGTACTATTTGCTGATGAAATATTCAGTGAATTTCACCATTCTTACTTCCCCTTGATCATGGCTCGGGTGTTTTGTACTCTCGTTGTGTCTATCATGAGGTTCACTGTGTTTATATTGGCAGTATTATTATAAACATTGTATATACATTTAGGGTAGATTAGATTTGGTGCTGTTTATATTCGATTTTTGGTTAAGCATTATATATAAACATTTTCACGTGGAAGACTTTATATACTAGGTTTGTAGTGCTATATAAACATTTAATATATATTTTCTCGGGGTAGACAAAGTTTATATAGGATGTATAGTGTTATATAAACATTCTAAATCTGTGTATATAATAAGTCATCTCTCAAATCTCTAACAGATGTATACGGTTTTATATATATCAATGTAAAATTCAACGTTAATTTGCGTGTTTTTAATATAATTCCTATATGATAAAAGAACTCTTCGTGGGAAGCCTTAGTTAACACACCGCCCTCTACCTTCACCTCTCTCCTTCCCTCCTTCCTCTCTCTCTCCCTCACCTCTCATCTTCCCTCACTCCTCTCCTTCCCTCTCATCACCCTACACTTGTTATTATGGGAACGATACTCACGCGAGAGGGAACATAACGACAGTGCTATTTTAACCACTTTGTATACTTAACTGCTATGTAACCAAACCTCTTTTAAAGTAATTGGTTATTGTTATGTAAGTATATTTTCATAGAAGGGGAAATAAGCGTGAATTTATTAGTGTATGTTAAGGGAATATATAAATAGAAGTTGTGAAGGGGTTGTTAATTGTGAGGAACACGCTATGCCAGTGAGGGAGAGAGGGCGAGTTGGAGCCTAATAGGGGTGGTGGGCTCCGACGAGTGGCGAGGCGAGCCGCGAGTTCTTACTTTTAGTCAGTCGTCCTCGAGCTGTAGACGGAGAAAGACGTGTGCTGGGTTGTTGTCCCACTTGAAGACATGAAAAACAAACTCTACCGTAACAAAATAATCTCCGACAAACATACCACACTGAATAACAATGAAGTAGGGTTTATATACAAATTACAATTGAACTCTCGTGAAACTAATTATAGAAATGACTAATTTATAATTCAATACCGAATCTTCTAAAACAGTTACGGTGGAAAGTGAAACTGTATCCCCATTAACATGATTTAAAAAGTGTATGTAAAAAGACTTTGAGAAGAGAAGTTTAGTATATCACAACACGTCCATCAAATAATTCTGACCAGGATGTTGTTCGTGGTTGTCCTTACTATCTGTCTGGTGGCGCCGCAGGGTGAGTTACTTCGTCAGCCGTATCAGCCCAACATCAGAAAGCTGCATTATCCTTTATTTGTATTTATTGATGATTAGTATGTGATTTTAAGTTAAAGTTTAGTGCACAGTTAACCCTTTGATGACGATCGTATTCAAGGGGTTAAGATATCATACTCAAGGGGTTAATATATCGCATTCAAGGGTTAATATATGGTACTCAAGGGGTTAAGATATTGTACTCAACGGGTTGAGATATTGTACTCAAGGGGTTAAGATATCGTATTCAAGGGTTAAGATATGGTACTCAAGGGGTTAAGATATTGTACTCAAGGGGTTAAGATATCGTACTCAAGGGGTTAAGATATTGTACTCAACGGGTTGAGATATTGTACTCAAGGGGTTAAGATATCGTATTCAAGGGTTAAGATATGGTACTCAAGGGGTTAAGATATCGTACTCAAGGGGTTAAGATATCGTACTCAGGGGGTTAAGTTATCGTACTCAAGAGGTTTAAGATATCGTACTCAAGAGGTCAAGATATTGTACTCAAGAGGTTAAAATACCCTTTGCTATTTAAGCTCTGTAGTGCACTAACATTAACATCAATTGCCAAAACACCCAATTATATTGAAGTTTTAATCGTTGATGTCTAGTGCTTTATCTAACTCAATATAAGCACTTAAATACCTCCCTATCTTATTGAAGCACAGTCATGCATTCTAATAACCATCTCAATTGCCGGGGTTATTGAGAATCTCTTGAGTTAGTTTCTACAATATTTTAAGCACAAACTGCGTCCAGTATTAAAGTAGATTTGTTGTTCGAGTTTCAATAGCACTTGAGACTGTAAATTTTATTGGTGTTTAAGACTCGGGTTCATTTTTTTTTTTACAGTTAGCAATTTTACATTTTTCTGATACCATACACAGGTTGTATTAAAATCCTCAGAAATAATATATGTTCGTTAGCAGACCATCTATAGTGTTTAAAATAATCCCTTTATGAGTTATATTATTCAGTACATCATTTAAGTCTTAACAAATAATAAGTTTTCTCAGGTCGATTATCTTGACTGGTTCATAGTTGTTGTTGGAGCTTATTAGTTTTTCGTGTTTTATATTAAATTAGTTGTATTAAAATAAGTATGTTTATATAGAAGAGTTTGTAGTAGAAATAATAGTCGACTCATACAGCCATCCTAGAATAGTCGAGCCAGTATCCGGTGTCCTTGGAAGGTTAGGTTAGGTTAGGTTAGGTTTAAGTGACCATGGTAGAAAAGACAACACGGATAATAATGTAATTGATCAGTAAATATAGTGTAGCTGAAACGGGCAGTAGGAATAATTATTACTGTGTGAATTAGCGTACTTAGGGAGGGGAGGTCGAGGTGACTTCAGACGTCAACATTGCCAGTTATTACAGGAAGTGAAATACAAGCCTTTGTTCGTATCATCCTTGAACACACACACACACACACACACACACACAGAAAATTTGCTATTCAAATCAATAATTATTGACATAAATTCATACACAGAAGGAAAAAAAAAGATGGCGGTTAAATAATAAAAAAATATTCAAGAGATTCAATTTTCTACGTGATACATCAAGAAATGTTGTGGGGTTAAATTCTGCCGAGAAGGTCAAGAGACAGTGCAAGTAAATGGTGTAAGGGGGAGAGAATTGAGAACATATTATTATTATTATTATTACTATTATTATTTAAAAACTACATACGTGTTCTCTATCTCTTCTGTAAAACAAATTAACAAACAATGACTTGATTCTTATTTAATAGTCCTTTGCAAATTAGACCCTGAAAAACAAAAATGAAACAAGTTAATTAGTTTTTTTTTGTTTTTTGTATTTTAGTTACGTCATTATGAGGGTGCATTATGAGGGAGGTGATGTAGAGGCACTTACGTAATGCAGTTCGTGATGTTGATATGTTCCTACGATATTCCTAATGGTGTTTTAATTACTGATAAGAAAGAGGGAATAAAACACACACACACACACACACACACACACACATGAATTAGAACTTTTTACAGTTTAGTAGTAAATAATAATGACATCAAATAGTTCGACTTTAATGTTATGTATAGTACCAAGGTAAAATTTAGTTAGCTATTTATGGAATTATAAATAGAAGTTGTCCTCTTTGTATTTATGTGACTTTAAATAGAAGTTGTTGCCTATTTATCTCTGCTCCTCTTAACAAAAACAAATATAATGCTGTCATTGAGAAATATCAAGGAAATATTCCTCAGTAAGACACGACAGACATGAACGAGAAGATTCCGTTCCATTTTTTTTTGGTTGTTGTTGAGGAAGATGAGCACTGTAAGAGAGCATCTTTTACAGCGGTAAGAGTGAGTGACAGGCGAGTGAGTGAGTGACAGGCGAGTGAGTGACAGGCGAGTGTGTGTGTGAGTTGTTAAATACTTTGCTTGAGTTATGATATTCCTTTCTATATTTACATTGTTTAAGAAATAACTAAATAAACGAAACATTTAAAAGTAGAGTTTTAAAAATGTCTTGGTGTATCATGTGGTCGCTAATGGTGACAGTGAGTCATACATTCCCGAACTGTTTACTTGACTCGCTATGTTGTTCAGGCGTGTTGTGGATAACATTTCATTTCATAAGGATATTTTTGATAGGATTATGTTAAAAGTAATTTCATTTTGATCAGTGTATTATCCCAGTTTATATTCGCCATTATCCCAGCTTATATTCGCCATTATCTCAGCTTATACTCGTCATTATCCCAGCTTATACTCGTCATTATCCCAGCTTATACTCGTCATTATCCCAGTCAATACTCACCATTATCCTAGCCCATACTCGCCATTATCCCAGCCTATACTCGCCATTATCCCAGTCAATACTCGCCATTATCCTAGCCTATACTCGCCATTATTCCAGCCTATAGAAATACTCTTATCTGACCAATCACAACTCTCGCCTGGCGGTCAAGAGTCAGCCAATCATCGATCGTTTCCGCCGCGGTATTTCCAAGCTAAGCTGAAATGTGGGTCGCCGTTTACGGGAGGGTCGACTCGTAAACAAAGTAATTATGTCGAGAATAGCGAACGACACTGTTATTGGTCGATGGTAGATCACGGTGAGGGGGGGTTGAGGAGAAGACTGAAGGGATTAATAAAACAGGGAAGAGGGAGAAGTGGAGACGGATGAAGAATGGGTGATATGGCGGGTTTTGGCGGTAGATTTATATTCATTCCTTTACAATATACCCGATGTTTTTATGTATTTTATTCGTAACTTTATGCATATTTCTTCACTATTCTTGTTCCAGTGATCGTGTTGTAACAGTCTGTTTTGTTTTGGCAGTGTTGGGTCAGTCTTCAGTGACGGTGGCCAGCTTCGGGAAGACCATGGCGCTGCAGACGGAGAAAAACTTAACACAACGTGGACTGACGGTTCTCCACCCACTCCCTTTACTCTCGTTGACCAGTGAGTCTCCTATACCCACGCCAGGGGTTAGGCCAGGGGGTAACCTCATCTGCTACTCATGTAAGCTGGATTTCCGCAAGCAACAGTACCAGTGGAACCATCCTTGTCTCGGGCGCCACAACCATTCTAAAGTGAGCGACGACTTCCTCGTCAACTGTGGCCCCACCGACACACTGTGCAGGGTGAGGGGCATGCCGCTGTAAAGTAAAAAACAAGATAAACAACGTGAAAAGGAGTGTTGCATATATATAAATATTCTCTCGTATAGTGAAGAGTTATAGTCATCACATCTGAAGGTTTTTGTCTCCCCAGGTTGAGAGGACGGAGGTCAACGGCGTGTTGATCATGCTGAGGCGGGAGTGTAGTAACTCCTGTTACAACAACTGTCGACCTAAAGGCTTCGGCATCAACTACGAAGTGTGTGAGAGATGCTGCAAGACTGACGCCTGTAACCACATCTACCCAGCAAGCAGCGGCCTTCTACTCCTTCCCTCCTTCAGCGTCGTCCTCACATTAGGCTGGTGGGTCGTAGCCGTCACCCTCCTCCCCTAGGACGCTCTTAGCCGCCCCTGTAGCTCGTACTATTGTCTCATTGGTAGTTTGTTTAGGGTATAGAGTACTCATTGGTCACTCGTAGTGAGGTGGTGGATTGTAGCCGCTGTCCTCTCTAACCTGAGTGCTCTTAAAGACCCTAGTAGCTCGTTTGATTGCCCAGGTTTTAGTAGTTTGATTTGGCCTTGTTTTCCTTAGATTACCCCTGTACTCGGCTGTTGACCTGCAGCCAATGTAATTTTTTACTAGGTTTCCTAATAACACCTTTGGTATCCCTCACTATTCATTACGGGGGTTCCACTAGTCCACATTAGAACAATTTCTTGCGTTTTATTCTGTTTATCAGTCGATCGATTATTTGTTTACATTTTGGCTACAATTCTGTCAGGTTTCCTTCATACAGAGCGTATTATTGGTTATTGTAGTCCCCTTTTTATTTATTTATTTTTCGCTACGCTCCCCGCAGTCGTCGTCTTCACTGGGTTAACTGTTTTACCTTCGACCTCCATACCTTGACCTCTACCCAAAGCCGTCGGTGTTGTAACCATATCATGTCTCTTGTCAGTGTTTTACTACACGGCCTTATTACCCGGGATAGACCAACACCCTACCACAGTCCTCAGTGTTCCTAGTACTGTATTGATGTTTATATCTTTCACCATCACCGAGTAACCGGAGAGATGTATCGTATCTCAATTCTGATCGTTGATGAATGGTGTATATGGTAACCTAGACTACGCACACAGACTATAGCTGATGTGTAGTAATACATAACATCAACATCTCACCGAGTCATCCTATGTAACTCAGATGACGTTAACTGTTGTGTCGTGGTGGCGTTCACACTGGGCATCTGATCAAAAACTTAAAGTGTTGATTTGTTGATTTCATTTTGGATACCTCCACTTTTCTCGCAGGATATCATAATGTAGTTAATATTGTGATAGGATATAGACCATATGAGAAGCACAGAAACATTTCATTATTGACTGATCCTTCGCGAGCTGACGATAGCATTACATAACATTGTCAAGATTTTATGGGCAAACTGTGTGGTATTATGGCCTTACAGTTCATAGATTCAAAGCCTAATACTATGATATATATTCATCCCTGGAAGTATTAGTCTGACTGGTAATCGAAGGACTATCAGGTCGAAATTTTAAGCATTATTTAGACATTTTATCATCAGTTCGTTGTTAAGAATGTCTGAATGATAACTGTGTGTTCTCTGGCATGTATTCGGAAGCTGCCCAGTGTGACTTAGTCTTCAGTACTGTCTTGCCTTGTCTTTGAGATCGTGTCTGTTGAAACTATATATATACGGTGCGTGACAGACGATTTAAGTTGTCTCATTAAGGTGGTGATTATGCCTTACCAATACCATCTGGGGATCGTATCTGTATATATAATAATGTAGTGTTGTGTAATTGTACTGTGAATGTGTCTGTCTTTTTATGTAAACAAGAGAATAATGTCAGATATCAAGTGTTCAAAATGTCGTGTTTGTTGTCAGTGTGTTGGTAAATAAAAATATGAAATCAAGTCTGAAGATGAGAACTTGTTTTGTCTTTCTCCTTGAATTTAATCTCAATAAAGAAACTGCCGGGACAGAAGCCAGAGTTTTACCCTATCTGATCACGCACACCCAGAACACTGTCGGCTGGCTCAATCACAACCAACACTCTTTCCCCCTCAGAGCACTAGATACACCTTCAATATATAGATCGAACCAAAGAGCCACAACACAACCTACAGACACTTCACTTCTTGGTCAGCTAGAGGGCGTCCTGGCGTATGGAACTATCATCATCATCATCATGGTTTAATATAATACGTTCGGTATATGATGGAAACTAGACAGCGCTACCAGACGACTGACTATTGAGCTGAAAGATGTTCTCAGGGACGAATGCTATTACAATAACCTCGACAGCACTGTTATGAAGGATGTCTCAGAACGTGACCAGAAGTAGTAGTAGTAGTAGTAGTAGTTGTAGTAGTAAAAATAAGATCATTAGTGGTAACAGTTGTAGTAAAGTATTTATTTTGGTAATAATAAAGTATTGAAGTCATAGTGGCAATAGTATTAGTTAAAGTATTTATAGTAGTAATATTAGCAGTAGTACAGTAATTGTAGGACCATAAGTAGTCATAAAGTACAGTACATAACAGGAATGAGAATACTGTATTACCATAGAAATTAAAAATGAACTGTAGACAGGCTAAAGATTTTCTAGACAAGAAATGCAATGAGATAGACGGTGATGACAGGAGACATAACTGTAGGGAAATATACAGAAAGATTTAAACATATGAAATGGGTTGGAACTATTAAAAGCAAGCACAACAATAGATGGAGAGAGTAAGTAGAAGAACTATACAATGATAAGGGGATAAAAAACGAAGGGGAGAACCCTCCGATAGATTGACGAGTTACCCTGTGTTCCTTTTGATGAACTTCGTACGTTATCGAAGAAAATGGGAATATTTGGGGGGTAAGTTTGCTATTCTTTTGCCCGGCCACACGTAGATATATATTTGTTCAGTAAAGTAGTTCTTCTAGTTCAAATTACTCGAGCTTATATATAAATAGTATAGGTACACAAACAATGACAAATTATAAATTAATTTCATAAAGTATAGCCCAAGAAAGCGTTTAACAGTTTATTTCCCATGGGATCCTTAATTTTCCACTGGGCCACGGTGGATGGACCTCACAGGATCTATAAGGAGACCAGTTAGCAATAGGTAATAGAGATATCCACTGTAAATACATACATAGCAGTGATTTCAGAACAAACTTTACATTGCTCTGCTCACTTTTTCCTTGATAGTTTTCATATTTACGACAATTTTCAGTAAATAAACCGTCTTAGACTACCATAGAGGCCATGTTTGTCGAAGGAATATATGAAGAGAACCCGACATATCAATTATATATTACGGTTACCTACACTTACAATAAGAGTAACTACACATCATACACACACTAACATAGCACCATAAATAATTTTACATCAACCTTGTAGTAAACTGCAAGATATATATATTTTGGTGAGTAATGCCCTCAAAACTAATTCACTGAATTAATGAGAATAATACACGGAGGTTCTCAGTCTCCCAAGTACAAGTCAAAACTGCAATCATACCGTCTTTCATTTAATTCTTGACTCTCTCTCTCTCTCTCTCTCTCTCTCTCACACACACACTGTATAAACAATGTCCCAGCAACACTCTTATACCCTGTTGCCTTAAGGTGTCATCATTTATATAGAACTATGCATAGATTAAGTGTACCCATATCCATAGCACTTAGGGTGATCGAGAGGTCGCTGTGCACCTGCAATAAATAATAACTGAGTTGTTCCTTGTTATACCTAGTGTTTTATATACCCTGTTCTTCGTATTGTAAATATAAAAAAATAGTCAAATTAATTTCTGTAATTGGATACCAATACCAGTTTTTAATGTAAGTATAGTAAAGTATATAACAATGTAGGTATAACAAGGAACAGCTCAATTATTATTTACTGCAGGTGCACAGGGACTTCTCGATCACACTGTACAGTATCTTCCTAAAGTCTTTGATCTTGGCGTCTCAGGGAAGAGTAGAGTAGAGTAGAAGCGCAGCGCCTTATCAGTGTTGGGGATGTGTCGAGCTCACTCCTCTGTCCTCTTGGTGAAGATGCTGGTGGGGACGAGTCCTAAGATATTCATTATCGTCTTTGTCTTCATTTCTCTTTTGGTCGACGGCAACCTGTGGGTACCAGGCGTTGTAATAATGATAATAATAATGACAATGACTGATAATAATAGCAATGATAACAATAATAACAAAAATAATAATAATAATAATAATAATAATAATAATAATAATAATAATAATAATATTTTTGTAGATTTATATACGTGTATGTGTAAATAAGACGTTTATAGTGTATATACGAGCCTAAAAAAAAAAAGGTTTATTCACTGCTGACCCATCGAGAGCATTTGTATATACCAGGAATGATTAAATGACATCAGGTATTCATTCTCACTTCAATATTACCATCTTTAAACTCCCACTATAACACCCAGAATGTGCATGATACCTGTACATTTTGTCCTTATTATCGCATGGAGGGCATTTCTTCTTCGTCTTTGTACACCAATGAGGGTAAACAACATTCCACACGCACACAAACACACACACACACACAAACACACACAGACACACACACACACACACACACACACACACACAGACACACACACACACACACACACACACACACACACACACACACACACACAAACACAGACACACACACTCACACACACACACACACACACACACACACACACACACACACACACACACACAACAGACATACACACACACACACACACACACACACACACACACACACACACACACACACACTCACACACACACACACACACAAACACAAACAGACACACACACACACACACACACACACACACACACACTGATGGCAGTGCTATCGCGCGACTCAAGTCACTGAACATATTCCACGCGCGGAGCCGTAGACAAGGCCGTCATACACATAAGCCCATTAGAACCGTAACCTCCACTAGGAAACCGGAGAAACCCACCCCTGACAGACCATACCACCACACTGAAGTTCCACGGATATGGTATGATCTCCCGTCTTTACTGCTATCCAACGTCACTTCCCTAGCTAACAAGTTCGACGAGCTGGCAACCACAGTCAGGTCAACCGCCGCGAGCGTCGTTGCCATATGTGAGGCTTGGCAAATTGTACCTGAAACGTGTCATATTGAGGGATATCAACTCTTTCATCACCTTCGTTCACAAAGACGCGGAGGGGGCGTTGCCCTCTTCTGTCAAGATGACCTACGCCCGTCACGCCTGGATGTTCAAGTCCCAGCAGATGTGGAAGCATTATGGGTACGTGTCGTGCTACGGGCCCACCCGCGCAACACTGCTTCCATCATAATCTGTGTGGCATACCATCCGCCTCGCTCACCCACCAGAGACACTCTTATCAATCATCTCATCACCACCTCAGACCACCTCAGAGTTAGGTACCCATGTGCCAAGTTAGTATTATGTGGGGATTTTAATGAAATTGACACCACTGATATCCAGGACCAGCTATCACTATCACAAGTTGTGACCTTCCCCACACACGGTCAAAATACCCTTGACCTTATCTTAACTGACTTAGCGGACCAGTACCAACCACCTCAACCAATGCCTCCTATCGGGTGTAGCACACACTTATCAGTGCTCTGGTCCCCAGCTGCCACTCCCACTCAAGTACAGAGACCCTACATCAAGACCTACAGGCCGATTACTGACTCTGCAGTGCGCCTCTTCGGGCAGTGGATAGTTCACCATCCCTGGACTGAAGTACTTAGCGTGGATGACGTGGAAACCAAATGGATAAATTATACCAACACCACCACGGAAGCTCACCACCACTTCTTCCCCGAGAAGTCCGTCAGATCTCACCCAGCTGACTTGCCCTGGATCACACCTCGGATCAAAAGACTTATGCAACAGAGAGACAGAGCCTTTCATCTCAATGACCACATCCGCTACAGGTCCCTTCGCAACCGAGTCATCCGCGAAATACGCACTGCAAAGAAGTCCCACTACCCAACCAAATTACAACACCTGAAGCAGACCAACATCAGTCAATGGTATGGTAAGCTTAAAGAACTCTGTGGACTAAACAATAAGACACACCCCCTCCCCTTCCTTAGCCATCTCACTAATGTTGACGCAGCTGAGCAAACAAATAACCATTTCGCTACTATATGCCAGACGCTCCCCCGGCTTGACACCACCACTCTCCCTGCTTACCTACCAGCCCCCCTTCCCACTGACTTAGTAGAAGAATTTGAAGTAGCAAAACGCCTGGACAAACTAAAATTAAAACGCTCTACCACCCCCATTGACTTACCAATGAAACTCTTCAAGGAGTTCTCCCCGGAGCTTGCTAAACCCCTATGCTCCATCATCAATGCTTCTCTCAGTCAAGCCAGATGCCCAGCTGACTGGAAGACCTCTTATGTATCACCAGTGCCCAAGTCAACCAGCCCACAATCCTTAAATCAGCTACGACCTATTGCAATCACCCCAATACCCAGCCTAATCTGTGAAAGTTTTGTGTTCGACTGGGCTTATGCTGATATTGCAGGAGTCGTAGACCCTCAGCAATTTGGCAACATGAAAACTTCCTCCACCACTCACTGTCTTGTCAGCTTTCTCGATTACATATACCGCCATCTCGAGAAACGAAAAACGTCTGTAGCTGTCGCCTTCATTGATTTCACTAAAGCGTTCGACCTAGTCGACCACAATATAATCATCAACAAAGCAATTGACCTCGGGCTTCGGAGAGTCTTATACCGTAAACACAGACTTCCTCAGTGACCGACGCCAAGCTGTACGCTTCCGAGGGCTGTCTCCACCTTTCAGTCACTCACCTGTGGCGTCCCCAAAGGCACCAAGATGGGACCACTCTGCTTCCTTAGCCTTTCATCAATGATGCCCTAAGAGAAAACCCTGCTCGCTGGAAATATGTCGACGACTCCACCATTGGGATCAGCGTCAACAATTCTGCTCCCAACTATACCGCCCTTCAGGATTTATTGAACAGTCTCCAAAACTGGGCCACCAACAACCATGTCACCATCAACCATACCAAGACCATGGTTATGCACATCAACCTCTCCTCCGACATTGTCCCACCTCCTTTCATTACTCTAGGTCCGAACACACTCCAGGTTGTAGATTCCACGAAGCTCCTCGGCGTCACCATAGACAACAAACTAAATTGGAAACCACACGTCAGTGAAGTTGTCAAATCCTCCAGTTTCCGTCTCCACCTCCTCCGCTGACTCAAGTCCCTCGGAGTTCCTGCACCCGAGCTCGTCAGTGTTTACTCAACATTCATACTTCCCAAGCTCACTTATGCCTCCCCTACCTGGTCTTCCTTCCTAAATGCCACACACCGTAAACACCTAGAAAAAGTGCAAAAGGGGGCATGCAAGATTATTCTCTCCCCTTCCTACTCCACATATCAAGAAGCGCTCAACACACTGACCCTTTCGACTCTCACTGACCATCACCACGACCTCATCTGCAAATTTGGTAAGAAGCTTCTACACCATCCTCGACACCGGCTCTGCACACACCTGAGACTTAGCCTGAGAATTGCCATGGACACCACAACCGCATCCAGCCCATACAGTACCTAATCCGATCGCTATAAGAACAGCCCAGTCCCAAATCCATTGTAAAAATTCATATCAATAACTTGTAATAAAACCAGTGTATTCAATTTGTGCAATACTACTTGCACTCATTGTCACTATGTTGAAATGCACTGTAGTTTGAGCTTTTCCCCCATCTAGTTATTATATATCTTATTTGTATCACTTATGTTATTGTATATTATTTGTAATTCGAAACCATTCCAAATGTAACTGTATATTTTCAGCCTTCTGGCCGCTGCTTCTTCAATAAATATTATTATTATTATTACACACAGACAGGAGCTTCACTTACTACAGATGGAACACTTGGCTTCGTCTGTGTTGTCGCCACAGCCGTCAGTACCCGAACACAGGATAGCCGTGGACCGACACCGCCCGTTGCCACACCTACGGGAGAATAGTGTTAATGGAGGCTCCCATGACCTACCTGAAGGGACAATAGAGACTCCCATGACCTACCTGAAGGGACAATAGAGGCTCCCATGACCTACCTGAAGGGACAATAGAGTAGTGTGACCCCATGACCTACCTGAAGGACACAATAGGAGGCTCCTATGTGACCTACCTGAAGGGACAGTAGGAAGCCCCATGACCTGTAACGAAGGACAATAGAGACTCCTATGACCTACTCCTGAAGGAGACAGTAGGAGGCTCCCCATGACCTACCTGAAGGGACAATGAGACTCTCCATGACCTGAAGGGACAGTAGAGGCTCCCATGACCTACCTGAAGGGACAATAGAGACCCTATGACCTACCTGGAAGGACAGTAGAGGCCCCATGACCCACCTGGAAGGACAATAGAGACCCCTATGACCTACCTGAAGGGACAATGAGGCCCCATGACCTACCTGAAGGGACAATAGAGACCTGCGACTACCTGAAGGACAATAGAGACTTCCATGATCTACCTGAAGGGACAATAGAGACTTCACAGACTCACCTGAAGGACACAGAGAGACTCCCATGACCTACCTGAAGGACAGCGAGACTCCCATGACCTACCTAAAGGACAATAGAGTACTTCCATGACCCAGCCTGAAGGACAATAGAGACTTATGACCTACCTGAAGGGACAATAGAGGCTCCCATGACCTACCTGAAGGACACAGACTCCCATGGACTCCACCTGAAGGGACAATAGGAGACTCCCATGACCTACCTGAAGGGACAATAGAGACTCCCATGACCTACCTGAAGGGACAATAGAGACTTCCATGACCTACCTGAAGGGACAATAGAGACTCCCATGACCTACCTGAAGGGACAATAGAGACTCCCATGACCTTCCTGAAGGGACAACAGAGGCTCCCATGACCTACCTGAAGGGGCAGTAGGAGGCGGTGATAGAACCCTGGATGCAAGCGGTCACATCCTCGTCACTCCCGTCGCTACAGGTGGGCGTGGCGTTACAGAAGACGAAACCAGGGAGACATCGACCGCCCCCACATCTGAAGGTCGACGCTGGACACGCTGCCGCTGGTGGTAGAGTGGTAGAGTGGTTCTGATGTCGTTATGGTCTTAAGTGATGCCTGAGGCCTTATTATCTAGTGCCGCCCCCCCCACAAGTGGTAGTTAGTTATAGGCATAAATGTAAACACAAAAAAGTCCCTCAACTCACAGCCATTACACGAAGATTCATCCGACCCGTCAGGACAGTGAGGTATGCCGTCACACAGGTGGGCGCGGGAGATACAGGTACCGTCGTTACAGGTGTGTGCCAGACGGGGACACCTGTGAGGTAAACAGTAGGCCTCGTCCGACCCGTCATCACACTCCCTCACTCCGTTACACACATAGTACCAGCTGATGCAACGCCCGGATGACACGCACTAAGTTATCAGAGATCAATAGTGTTAGTTTTGTGTTAGAGAGAGAGAGAGAGAGAGAGAGAGAGAGAGAGAGAGAGAGAGAGAGAGAGAGAGAGAGAGCATAATTAAATAACTCAGGTACATCATATTTACCTTCAAGAACTACATAATTACGTGAATCAGGTGTTTTAAACATGTACCTGGAAGGTGTCTTTGTAACAGCCCGTCTTGTCAGCGGAACACTCAGCACTATTGTGAATACAGTGGCAGACGCCGGCACGGCAGAAGGTGAAGGGATCTGAGGCCCGGCACTGGTTAGACCCCTCGCATCTCTGACCCAGTGAGGCCGGGGTCACGCCAGCATCTGTAGTAGGGTGGGGAGAAGGACAGGCTCTTAGTAGTGGTGAAGAAGGAGGAGGACAAAAAGGATTACTTCAACGATAGAGTCTCTAAACTACTTGTGTAAAGGACCAGTTACTATCAGTCAGTGTTGGTGATAGAAGTAAAGTCTTAATGGAAGCTTATTTTAAAGGTCTTGGGTCCTAGGAACGTCATTTTAAGGGTTTTGGGTCTTAGAAAGGTCATTTTAAAGGTCTTAGCAGTGCCGGATTAACCATGAGGCACTTGAGGCACTGGCCTCAGGCCCCCCGACTCTAAGGGGCCCCCAAATCCAAACATTCTCGAAGTTGAAGCATATAAAACATGAACTTCGTTCAACGATGTCCTAACAACGTCTCAATTTTCTGTCTCTTATGAACATTAAATGTGTTATTTTGCAGAAACTTAATATTGATGAAATCATTGATAAATTTTGGTATATTTTGTTCTTGCTATATATATATATATATATATATATATATATATATATATATATATATATATATATATATATATATATATATATATATATACACCTTGAGGGTAGGGGGCCCCAAGTTGATCTGTGCCTCAGGCCCCTATTAAGCTTCATCCGGCCCTGGGTCTTAGGTCTTAGAAAGGTGATTTTTAAAGTCTTAGGTCTTAGAAAAGGTCATTTTGAAAGGTTTTGGGTCTTTATGAAGGTAATTTTAAAGGTGTCTAGTCATTATGAAGGTTTCAGATTTTAGAAAGGTCATAGGCAAGGTTGTCATGTCTTAGAATGTTGACAAGACTCTCCACTCCTATCATCTGTAGAGTGTAGAGTCTGGTTATCTTCCGTAGTATACCTTACCTTTGAGAGGCAGAGGCATGAAGAGCATAATATAGGGTGTCCCAGAAAAATGTCCATGTTTCCCACCCTCCTGTCCTCCCTGCCTGCCTGCTCCCTGAGACACTGTGAGTTGGAGGGAGGGATGGAGGCGCGGAGGTAGGGAGGGAGGGACATTTTTCTGGGACACCCTATATATATATATATTGTATATCCTGCCTCTGGATATCCTCTGGGAATAACACCCTCTGGCGGCCACTCTCCGAAACCTTACCTGCTAACCCAATAGAAAACGGAGAAAGAAAATGGGTAAATTGGGGGTCTGTATCAGGTGATCCTTGCAAACGATGACATTTAGTTCCTTGGTTACGGGGTTATTTGACGTTCACGTGGACGTAACTCACCTTTGTAACTCATACTGTAACTCATATTGTAACTCACACACACACACACTCTCTGCACTCACCTTTAAGAACAGGGATACACCGAGTGCCATTCTCAACCACCAGATGGCCCGAGGGACAGGCACATACAGCCAAGGGCACAACGAGGGACCTGGGGGGCACACCGGGGATGGCAGAGATGCTGTTGGGGATGATATCTGAGGGCGTGGGCAGCGGGGTATCGTGCTGGATGACACATACTGACCCGGGCACGCTGTTGCTGCACTGGGCACTGGTACCACACGGAGACCCTAGAGCTGTGTAGAGGTGGGGCGTGGTGAGATAGATAGATAGATAGATAGATAGATGAGATAGCAGTATGGTGTGACCCGTACAGCGGTGACTCAGCATACCAGGTGTCAAGGTGGAGGTGAGAAAGATAAACATTGACTCATCAACTACGTCACAGTGAGAATAAAGTGATGAGGAAATCTACGGTGAAGTTAGTGATTATTTATACTAACGAGCTACAGCTACAGGTATTCTTTTTACGATTAACTAAATACACTAATACACTAGAGGTGATGGATTCTCTACTAATAGCAACAGGTGTGCAAGATGAACAGGTGTGTAAAGAAGACACCTGGCTCTATATCCATAAGTTAGGAACAATGGTTTATATTTTGACTACGAGGGGACAGATGTGTAAGGATGAGTTGACAAGAGCAATATTACAAATGTTTTATCTCAACTTTACTACGTGTGAGGGGGAGGGGAAGGGGAGGGGGGAGGGTGGAGGGGAGGGAAGGGAGGAGGGGAGGGGAAGGGAGGGGTGAGAGGGGAAGGGGAGGGATTGGGAGGGGAGAGATGGGGCGGGGGGGGAGTGGAGTGGAGACAGATATTCAAGGTAAAACTAGATTGCAATTTAACTTTGGAATGACAGATGTTGAGGGAATCTGACTCAAAAAATACAACAGGTGTTAAGAAATATTGGAGGAATGTATACCACAAGATTATAACAGGTGTTTGGGAACTATACGTGATGACAGGTGTATAAGAGGGACCCTGGGTGGTGTGTGTGTGTGTGTTATATCAGGGACGTACGTTAAGACCTTGACAAATAATCATCAAAGGTCCCTGATTATTTACTCATACTGATCTGTTTGTTATCCTGGTGGAGGTGAGGCGATAAAACCCCCCTTCTCCTACTGTTCCTCCTTCTCAACCACCTCCTCCTTCACCCCCTCCTCCTTCACCTCCTCCTTCTCTTCCTGAGGTAAACATGTAGATCAGACAGGTGTGTGAGGGGAAGAGGACTCACAGTATCGCAGGTGTCCACAGGTACGGCCGGGGGTCTTGGGTACGTCACTGGAACACTGACAGCGGCCGTACACCCTCGGGACGGTGAAGTTACAGAAGCTGCCACGGCTCCCCAGCCGACACTGTTCATGGCTCCTGCACATGTCCCCTACACGAGCACCTGTAGGAGAGGAAGAAGAAGGGGAGGGTGAGGCAGGGGGAGTGAGAAGGGCGACTAATATGACTTAAACCTAACCTAACCTAACCTAACCTAACTTAACCTAACCCAACTTAACCTAACTTAACCTAACCCAACTTAACCTCACCTTACATAAAAAAAGGAATAAAAACGAAGAAGAGAAGAACGAAGATGGTGAAGACGTACAAGAAGAGAATCGTGTGGGAATGTTCTGGGATCCACTAGGCTGAGTCATGTTGCCTGAGACAGGTAAACACACCCAAGACACACACACACACACACACACACACACACACACACACACACACACACACACACACACACACACACACACACACACACACACACACACACACACACACACACACACACACACACACACACACACACACACACACACACACACACACACACACACGGGAGGAAGGACAAGAAGAAAATACAAAATAAATCGTTCGTATACAGTACTGTATATATTATAGATAGATGTTTGATAAGATATTATTATTATTATTATTATTATTATTATTATTATTATTATTATTATTATTATTGTTATTATTATTATTATTATTATTATTATTATTATTATTATTATTATTATTATTATTATTATTAGTATTATTATCATCATCATCATCATCATCATCATCATAAAAGAGGTGATCTGTACAATTAACCTAATCTTCATTATTCTCAAGTAAGAAAAATAAAATATCTCAACTCAGCCGCAGTGTGTAGGTCATATACAGTGAACACGACTTTGAAATAAACCTAAAGTCATTATCAAGATCACATTACAAAAGTTCAAAAATAACAAATAAAAACCTTTAACAAATACCACAGATGATAATAATAACTTAACAAAATCTAGAATATAAGAATAAAATTATATACATATTACCCCCAAAAAGGTAATATTTTTGACAGAACTTGATAAAAAGGTTAAAAGTTCAGAAGACAATGAGATGTTGACCACGGTAAAGTGACCTTCAAGGGGTGTGAGTCATGTGTGTATGTAAATTTGGTCTTTTTTTTAAGTTCCCTTTGTGTCGTCCTCACAGTGACCTTCCTTGTCGTGTTTAAGTGTTTCTCTGGAATTAACGCTGCTTTAAGGTCTGCTTTTACTGTGGTATGACCTGAGACTATTATTGTAACTCCCCAATGCTTATTTCATCCGATGATTCAACACTAACGTAACCTAACCTAACCTAACCTTAACCTAATCTAGCCTAACCTAACGTAACCTAACCTAACCTAACCTAACCTAACCTTAACCTAATCTAGCCTAACCTAACGTAACCTAACCTAATCTAGCCTAACCTAACCCACCCAAACCTAATCTAGCCTAACCTAACCTTAACCTAATCTAGCCTAACCTAACGTAACCTAACCTAAACTAACGTAACCTAACGTAACGTAACCTAACCTAACCTAACCTAACCTAACCTAACCTAACCTTAACCTAACCTTAACCTAACCTAATCTAGCCTAACCTAACCTAACCTTAACCTAACCTAACGTAACCTAACGTAACCTAACCTAACCTAACGTAACCTAACCTAACCTTAACCTAACCTTAACCTAACCTAATCGAGCCTAACTTAACCCAATCCATCTTAACGTAACCTAACCCACCCAAACCTACATACATACATACATAATTGATAGATAGATAGATAGATAGATAGTTGGCTTGATAGATAGATAGAGAGACAGATAGATAGATAGATAGATAGATAGAATGATATTTAGATAGATGAATGAATAGTTGGATTGATAGATGAATGAGGGCAGATAGATATAGATGAGTAGATGAATGAATGTAGATAGATGAATGAATATATGAATGAATATATAGATAGATAGTTGGATTGATAGATACTGTAGATAGAGAGACAGATAGACAGATAGATAGATAGATAGAGACAGGCAGATAGACAGATAGATAGATAGACAGATGGCCTTACCCTTCAGGCAGTTGTTCCTCCTGTAGGGCACGTACTTGGCGTCACAGCGACAGTAGCCCTGAATACACGCCGAGTGGTCTACCCTCATGCTGCACTGGGCGTCCACCTGGCAGGGGAACCCGAGTAGAGCACCTGGAGGCGTAGATGAAGGAGGTGATGATGATTTTTAGGGAAGATCACCTGAAGATTTGTTCCTCTCATGATTATTTCACCTGGAGATTATTAATTAACCATCCTGACGGTAACTTAACCTAACCTAACCTGACCTAACACTAAATTAACCTAATCTAACCTATCCTAAACCAAATATAACTCAACATAACATAATCTAAATCTAATCTAATATAATATAATCCAACCTAACCTAATCTAACCTAACCTAACCTAACCTAACCTAACCTAACTCTAACCTGACGTAGCTCCTCCAGGTATAGCATTAGGGCGGTTAAACATCTATCAACACAATAAATGATTACTAGAAATAAAAAAAAGACTATTTAAACAGAGTCCCAATGATCAGTAACTCTGGGTATTATAGCATTGAGTAGTTCCAGTATATTATTTAGTTCTGTACATAGGAATTGATATATTTACAAGGTGAAGAATATAACTAGAATCTTTATAAACTGTCTTGCTATCAGAGGTAAAGTGATGTGATAGTTTAGTGAAGGAGGAAGGAGAAGATTATTACTGGTTTTTTTGATGATTAGTCTGTGATATATAATACAGATGGTGATTTGGTGGTAGTGGTTGTTTGCGTGGTGGGTTATGGTGGGGGTTATGGTAGGTGGTTGTGGTGTTATGGTGGGTAGTTGTGGTGTTATGGTGGGTAGTTGTGGTGTTATGGTGAATTGGTTGTGGTGTTATGGTGGGTAGTTGTGTGGTGGCATTATGGTGGGTGGTTGTGGTATTATGGTGGGTGGTTGTGGTGTTATGTGGTGGAATTGGTTGTGGGTTATGGTGGTGGTTGTGGTATGGTGGGTGGTTGTGGTGTTATGGTGGGTGATTTGACGTTATTATGGTGGGTGGTTGTGGTGTGTTATGGTGGGTGGTTGGTGTTAAGATTAGATTGGTTGTGGTGTTATGAATTGGGTGGTTATTGGGGTGGTATGGTGGGTGTTATGGTGGGTAGTTGTGGTGTTAAATTGGTGGTATTGGTGTTATAATTGGGTGGTTGTGGGTTATAGTGGGTGGTTATTGGGTTATGGTGGAATGGTTGTGGTATTATGGTGGGTGGTTGTGGAGTTATAATTGGTAGTTGTGGTGTTATGGTGGGTAGTTGTGGTGTTATGGTGGGTGGTTGTGGTGTTATAGGGTGGGTAGTTGTGGTGTTATGGTGGGTAGTTGTGGGTTATAATTGGGTGGTTGTGGGTTATGGTGGGTGGTTGTGGTGTTATGGTGGGTAGTTATTGGTGTTATGGTGGGTGGTTGTGGGTTATGGTGGGTGGTTGTACTTATAGTGCGGTGGTTGTGGTGTGTTATGGTGTGTGGTTGTGGTGCGGTGGGTGGTTGTGGTGTTATGGTGGGTGGTTGTGGTGTTGTTATGGTGGGTGGTTGTGGTGTTATGGTGGGTGGTTGTGGTTAAGGTGGGTGGTGTTGGGTGGTGTGCATTATGGTGGGGCGGTCATTGGTGTCAGGTTGGCGGTGGGTGGTCAGGTGGGTTATGGTGGGTGGTTGTGGTATTATGGTGGGTGGTTGGGTGGTATGGTGGGGTGTGGGTATTGGGTGGGTGTTATTGGTGGGTAGTTGTGGTGTTATGGTGGGTTATAATTGGGTAGTTGTGGTGTTATGGGTGGGTTGCAGGGTGGTTGTGGGTTATGGTGGTGGCATGGGTGGGTGGTTGTGGGTTATATGGGTGGTTGTGGTGTTGGAGTTGTGGTGTTATGGTGGTGGTTGTGGTTAAGGTATGGGTGGTTGTTATGTGGGTTATGGTGGGTAGTTGTGGTGTTATGGTGGGTGGTTGTGGTGTTATGGTGGGTGGTTGTGGGTTATGGTAGTTGTGGTGTTATGGTGGGTGGTTGTGGGTGTTATGGTGGGTAGTTATTGTGGTGTTCCTGGTGGGTGGTTGTGGGTTGTTATGGTGGGTGTTGTGGGTTATGGTGGGTGGTTGTGGTGTTATGGTGGGTGGTTGTGGGTTATGGTGGGTAGTTGTGGGTGTTGGGTGGTTGCTTGTGGGTTATGGTGGGTGGTTGGTGGGTGTGGTTGGTGGGTTATGTGGGTGGTTGGTGGGTTAGGTGTGGTGGGGTGGTTGTGGGGTTGTGGTGGGTAGGGTTTGTGGTGTTATGGTGGGTGGTTATTGGTGTTATGGTGGGTGGGTGGTCAGGTTGGTGGTGGGTATGGTGGGTGGTTGTGGTGTTATGGTGGGTAGTTGTGGTGTTATGGTGGGTGGTTGTGGTGTTATGGTGGGTGGTTGGTGATGTTATGGTGGAGTGGTTGTGGTGTTATGTTGTGGTTGTTGTTATGGTGGGTGGTTATTGGTGTTGTAATTGGTGGTTGTGGTTATATGGGTGGAGTAGTTAGTGGGTTATGGGTGGTTGTGGGTTATGGTGGTGGTTGGTGTTATGTTGGGTAGTTGTGGTGTTATGGTGGGTGGTTGTGGTGTTATGGTGGGTAGTTGGTGGGTAGTTGTGGTGTTATGGTGGTGGTTGTTATGGTGGGTAGTTGTGGTGTTATGGTGGGTTGGTTGTGGTGTGTAATGGGTAGTTGTGGTGTTATGGTGGGTAGTTGTGTATGTGGGTGGTGGGTGGTTTATGGGTTATGGTGGGTAGTTGTGGTGTTATGGTGGTGGAGTAGTTGTGGTGTTATAATTGGTTGGTTGTGGGTTATGGTGGGTGGTTGTGGTGTTATGGTGGGTAGGTGTGGTGTTATGGTGGGTGGTGTTAAGGTTTGTGGGTAGCTGTGGGTTATGGTGGGTGGTTGTGGGTTATGGTGGGTAGTTGTGGGTTATGGTGGGTGTGGTTGTGGGTTATGGTGGGTAGTTGTGGTTATGAAGTAGTTGTGGTGTTATGGTGGTTGGTTGTGGGTTATGGTGGGTGGTTGTGGGTTATGGTGGGTAGTTGTGGTGTTATGGTGGGTAGTTATTGAGTTGTGGGTTATGGGTGGGTGTTGTTGTTATGGTGGGTGATTGTGGGTTTATAATGGGTAGTTGTGGTGTTGTGGTGGGTAGTTGTGGGTTATGGTGGGTAGTTGTGGTGTTATGGTGGGTAGTTGTGGGTTATGGTGGGTAGATTGTGGGTTATGTGGAATTGGTTGTGTGGTGTTATATGGGTGGGTGGTTAATGATGTTATGGGTTGAGTGGGTTATTGGTGTTATGGTGGGTAGTTGTGGGTTATGGTGGAGTAGTTGTGGGTTATGGTGGTGTGGTTGTGGTGTTGTGGTGGGTAGGCGGTTATGGTGGTGTTATGGTGAGTGGGGTTGTGGTGTTGTGGTGTGGTTGGTGTGTGGTTATGGTGGAGTGTGGTCAGGTTGTGGTGGTTGTGGCTGTGGGTGTTGTGGTGGGTAGTTGTGGGTTATGGTGGGAAGTTGTGGGCTGGTGGTGGGTAGTTGTGGTGGGGGTTTGGTGGTGGGTATGGTGGGGGTTGGTGGTGGGTTTGTGGGTGGTGGTGGGTGGTGGTGGTGGTATGGTGGAGTGGTGGGTTGGTGAATTGGTTGGCGTGGTGTTATGGTGGGTGGTTGTGGGTTATGGTGGGTAGTTGTGGTGTTATGGTGGATGGTTGTGGTGTTATGGTGGGTAGTTGTGGTGTTATGGTGGTGTTGTGGTGTTATGGTGGGTAATTGTGGGTTATAATGGGTGGTTGTGGTGTTATATGGTGGGTGGTTGTGGTGTTATGGTGGAGTAGTTGTGGGTTATGGTGGGTAGTTGTGGGGTTATGGTGGGTTTGCAGGGTAGCCAGGTGTTGGGGTGGGTGGTTGTGGTGTTATGGTGGGAATGGTTGTGGTGTTATGGTGGGATGGCTGTGATGTTATAATGGGTGGTTATAATTGTGAAGTAAACTGGGGGGGGGGGAGCTAATGTACATGTGATCTTTATTTATTTATATATCTATTCAAATAACATCTAAACACAATTACTGTATCTATATTTCTATTTTATGAGGCAAGAGGTAATCCAACCGCAAGAACTGTAGCTTAAATAAACAATGGAATTCTTATTTAGTTTACAGATCGGTTTACAGTCAGGTAAGATCAGACCATGAGGCCATAATCCTACCCAGAAGGTCTTTTAAGATTCACCCAGATACAGACGTTTAATAAAAGTAAGTTTTCTATAATATATGTTTTTTGATGTTGGTGGCTAGTTTGATTATTATCTCCTTAATGCTACTAGGAGAATGATTTGTAGGTGTTGAAGAGCTGCACCAATAATATCACTACATGCTAACATCATCAACAACTGAGCAGTGTTTGGCTGGTCAATAAACGAGTATGGTGTTTATCAAGTAACAGTACAGCCTGACCCGGTATTCTGAGGTTCGTTCGTAAAGTTGATTTTTTTTTTTACATCACACAAGAGTTTGGTTAACATACAATGAACATTTGGCTACCGGGTTACGTGTCAGGGGGAAAAAAGTCACAGTTTTGGCCAGGGAAAAAATCATATGAAATAGTCACTTTTTTTTTACTAGGTTAAATTTAGTGAGGTTAGGAATATTATTTGTATTAATTTCCCTATGACTTTTCCTATATTTCTTTAACCTCAGTCAACAGGCAGTCAATACGGCCATTCTTTGCGATGTTATTATAATGTATCACTACGCTTCAATAACTAAGACCTTTAACTGCGTACTCTAAACTAACCATACGGCACACATCAAGTAGTGAACATTAAGAGGAGTGAGGTAGTGAGTGAGTAGAGCGTGTGACCCACCCGGTAGACAGAGAGAAGCGTTGACTGCGAGGTAGTGTGGCTGACACATACATCTGCCTTTCTCACACACGCCGGAGGTAACGCCGCAGTTCTTACTGACGGCGCACGACTCCCCCAGCAGTGACCCCCCAGTCGTCAGCACCGGCCTCCCTACGATGCGGTTACCGGAGCTCTGGAACACGTCTAGGCTCCTTGTTGACGGCTTTTGTGGCAACACGGCAACCTGAAACATAACTTAATATCAATAATGGCAGCAGAGGAATAAATAAAGCTTATTTGATGGTGGTCAACACAGCGTTACATCGATGTAGTGTGTGTGTGTGTGTGTGTTTGTGTAATATGTATTGTATACTATATAAGTATTCTATTGTGTGTATGAATGCATGAGAGCGTATGTATGAATCAGTAATTGGAAGCATGGGTGTGTGTGTGTGTGTGTGTGTGTAATAATAATAATAATAATAATAATAATAATAAACGGTTTATTGAAAAAGTTTGCAGCCCGAAGGCTAAAAATATACATTGGACATAAATGACTTATTACATACATTGGTGGTTTAACAAAAGCCTTAATTAGAGAAAGGTGAAGGAACATACAGTGAACATACAGATTAATGTTTACACACGTAGATCATGTGAGCTGAGGTGTTGAACAGCAGACACGTAGTGTAGTAACTCCCTCACAGATGGCGTTATGAGGGGCATCACGTGGAGTACTAGTTCCCTCACAGGTGGTGTTATGAGGGACTTGACGTGGTGTAGTAATTCCCTCACAGATGGTGTTACGAGGGGCCTGATGATGTAGTAGTTACCTCACAGATGGTGTATGAGGGGCCTGATGATGTAGTAATTCCCTCACAGATGGTGTTGAGGGGCCTGATGTGGTGTAGTAATTCCCTCACAGATGGTGTTATGAGGGGGCGTAGTAATTCCCTCACAGATGGTGTTATGAGGGGCTCACAGATGGTGTTATGAGGGGCCTGATGTGGTGTAGTAATTCCCTCACAGATGGTGTTATGAGGGGCATCACGTGGTGTAGTAATTCCCTCACAGATGGTGTTATGAGGAACCTTCACATGATGCTGTAGCAACTCATTCACTACGTGGTGTCGTAGCATCATGGGGACACCACGTGGTCAGTTGTCACAGGACTTCACTCACTCAAGTGGGTGAGGTGTGGTCCCAGGCTTCTCTATCGTGGAGTCTCAGGGGAATTATCACTGGGTACCTGGGACCTCACTGTGTGAAGGTTAGCTTGGCTCAGACTCAACTGCCGAGTTGTTTTTCACTGACTTAAGCACTGTTCACCACTATTCAACACTGGTTCCATTCCTTTCCCAAATGAAATAGTAACTTCTGGCGAGAACTTAAGTGTGTGTTTGTGTGTGTGTGTGTGTGTGTTCAGTTCTGGTTACCGTATTACAGAATGGATATAGAATCCTTGGAAAGAATTCAGAGGAGAATGACAAGACTAATCCCGGGCATTAGGAACCTTGAGTATAGAGACAGGTTAAAGCACCTTAATTTGCACTCCCTCGAGAGACGTAGAGTGAGGGGCGACCTGATAGAGGTGTATAAGTGGAAGTCAGGGCTAAACAAAGGGGCCATTACAAAGGTACTCAAACTATCCAACCAGGAGCGAACTCGTAACAATGGTTTTAAATTAGACAAATTTAGATTTAGTCGTGAAATAGGTAAACATTGGTTTGGAAACAGAGTACTGGATGAATGGAACAAGTTACCAAATATCATCATTAACTCGAATACGCTGAATTGCTTCAAACATAGGTTGGATGCGTATATGAGCAATAGGGGTTAGGTGTAAACGGGACTGCCCAGTATGGGCTAATAGGCCCGCTGCAGTTCCCTCCATTCTTATGTTCTTATGTGTGTGTGTAATAATAATAATAATAATTAACGGTTTATTGAAAAAATTCTGCAGCCCGAAGGCTGAAAATATACATTGGACATAAATGACTTATTACATACATTGGTGGTTTAACAAAAGCCTTCATTAAAGAAAGGTAAAGGAACATACAATGAACATACAGATTAATGTAGGTGTTGAACAGCAAACTCGTAGTGTAGTAACTCCCTCCCAGATGGTGTTAGGAGGAACTCACGTGTGTGTGTGTGTGTGTGTGTGTGTGCATAACGGTCTTCATCGACCTTATTAAGGCCTTCGACTCGGTCAACAGGGAGGCCCTCTGGTGGACCCTCAACTGTTTTGGCTGCCCACCAAAATTCATCGCCATTGTGAGGCAACTTCACGATGGCATGAACGGCAGTGACCTGCACAATGGCACCCAGTCTGAGTTCTTCCCCCATCCAAACAGGGTAAAACAAGGATGTGTACTGGCACCAACTCTCTCTCTTCCAATTTCTTGGCTGCTTTCCTTACTCGTGAGACGATTACTCCACACCGTAACGCTTGGAGGAGCACCACACGAGGTGTCAATACTTTCGAGTTAGCTCGACTAAATACCGAGGCAGACAAGCGCCAACGCCGAAAAGACGCTGCCGCCGCCCCTCCCGCACTAGACGTAGCCCTCCACACGTGCAACATCTGTGGACGGCCCTGCCAATCCCTTATCGGCCTCTCGAGTCACATCAGAACTCACCAATGAAGGTGACATCATTAATAACTCATACCATTGCAACATAGCTGGATGATTATCATACTCGATTCCTAGTGACAGCAACGTAGCAGTAATAGTAGTATTAGAAGTAGTAGCAGTTGTGCACGGCAATACTAGCATACAGTGAAACAAGTAGGCGGAGGTGGTGACGGGCCAACACACGTTAACGGACTCACTAACACAACATAACATTACTGCAGCTGTCTTGATCAAGTGACTAAGCACAATCCCATAACAGAACCCTTGTGTAGTCACAGAGGGAGAAGGAAAAAATCTTGACCTTAAATAGATTTCTTGAATAATGTTTAAAGCTAATACTGAGCGTGACTGGAGCATCTCACAGCTAAACATCACTGACTCATGCTAATTGTATCGTCTTAAATGATGGTGGATGTTTGGGTGGGTAATGGATGTTCTTATTGACAGGTTTTATAAAGATTTAGTCCCTATTCGCTTAAACACGTTAAACTAACCTACCATACCAGAACCTAACCTAACCTAACTTAGTCTAACCTAACCTAACCTAAACTAACCTAATATAACCCTCAGGTATCGTTAGAGTGTTTGATCATCAGGTGAAACAAGCTGGGGATAATCTTCAGGTGATCCTAATTAAACCGTATATTATAATTGATTCTATGTTTAATACTACGTGTGTTTGGGTATCCGGGTCATGAAAAAACAAAATAATATAAGTATAATATTTCCGGTTTAATTTATCGTAAAGGTATATTATCTCACATCCCATCTGTTACCTGTTTACAGTTTTACCTCAGTAATTCCTTAGAGCCAAACACCTCACTTGACAACCAACGCAGCAGAAGTTACATTAAAGTTGATATAATGTTTGAGTGTAAAAAAAAAACTAGATCACCTGTAGATTAGCCACCCTAACTTATTTCACCTTAAGAGTAATCTAACCTAACCTAACGTAACGCTAACCTAACATTAACTTAACCTAACCTCTATCACTCAATGGGTTAAAATATATCTCGATTAATGACCCTTTTGCTAAAGTGTCTAAATCCATTTACACGTCAATTACATCCGTGTGAGTAGGTGTAATATAATGACAGGGATTCATGTTTTGAGTCTGGGAAGCAGGAGGAGGAGGAGGAGGTGGAGAAGGAGGAGGAGGTGGAGGAGGGGGAGAAGGAGGAGGAGGAGGGGGAGGAGGAGGAGGAGGAGGGAGAAGGAGGAGGAGAAGGAGGAGGAGGAGGGGGAGAAGAAGGAGGAGGTGGAGGTATGCTGGCTGTAGGCTGTAGGATTGACGCCTTGTACTGTACATAATTTACGCGACATAAAGTTAGTTCTTCTCTCCCGTGATTTCGTAGAACCGACTAACAACACATATGTGGACACTATACCTGGAGAACATTTAGTAAACATTGTAAACTTATGGTGAACATGCTGTGTGGTCATTGTAGTAAGCATAGAGTAAGCATATTTCTATAGTGAACATGATGTGTGGTCATTGTAGTAAGCATAGAGTAAGCATATTTCTATAGTGAACATGATGTGTGGTCATTGTAGTAAGCATACAATAGAGGAAGCATATTTCTATAGTGAACATGATGTGTGGTCATTGTAGTAAGCATAGAGTAAGCATATTTCTATAGTGAACATGATGTAACTATATGACTGTAGTGGATTATAAAGTAGATATATACAGTTTTATAATGATGGTGAATAATGAATCATGGTAACTATACGTGAGAATGAAAACAAAACCATAAGGGAAAAATGGTACCTATAAACAGTGAAGACAACAGGGTTTATTTTTTAGTGAAGACATGAGAAATGTCAGTGACCCAGGCGTGAAAACATTGCCAGTGTAAATGTGCGAGTAGAGGGAACACAGAGGCAACACCACACACTTTAAAACTGACATAAGAAATCAACGTAAGTGTCGGGGTATTTATATATCGTGTAAGTCATCATTAGCTTAGAGTTAATACTTCTAATACTTCTTTCGTTTATTTCTCTAATTAAATGTCACTTATAAAACACTAGGGTATATATTTATGAAGAAGACAGACACACATACAGTATATAATTATTTGTTGTTGAAGCATAGTAAAAATGTATTATGGTAGACTACGTGCTTAATGATTTTTGTTAATATAGTCTAGTCACCATCACCATCATCATCATCATCATAATCATCATAAATTTGCAATGGAGTGTTTCCCTGGACCGAATTCACATGTCGTTCTCATACTTCCTCAAACACTCAAGTATCACCAGCACGACGCGAGTGTTGGACAAGAGGTCATTAACACCCCTCTTGAGCGAACGTTCACCCACACCCCCTCCTTCTTCAACACTGCTTCATTGTAGGCGGGATACACAGTTACGTCTCCTACCTCAATACGACTGAATTAATGTAATGTTTCTTGGCTTTAACAACATGTTCCTTTATATTTGAGTCTCCGTTTTAAAGAGCTGTTTGTTGTAGATGTTAACGTTTAGTGGAGTTTACTTAATGGCTCTGGAAAACCGAAATACCGGAAAAATAAACATATTTTCTGATTTGCTGCACATAACCCTGGCAGTCCGAGCACCTTAAGAAACACCCCCCCACCCTCTCTCTCGCTCTCTCTCTCGTACAACATAAAAATCATCACTTCATTATATAACAAAGGCGTCAGTCAGCTAACTCCTCTCTAAATATATGCTAAAGTTAAACTACAGCTCTTGATATCATTGTAGTTTCAAGTGATTTTTTTCTATTTACTCCCACACAACAATTAGACCTTCTTCAGTAGGTAAACATTTGTGTGAGTGAGTTTCGTGTTTTATTTTTTTCGTTCGTGATATAAATGTTTCAATCTGTATTTAAAGGAAAGAATGCGGCCAGGTGAACGATGGATTATATACCGTGTGTTTTAATTGGGTTTCATGATAAGATTCAATTTTCACTTCTGGAATTCCGTAAATCATTCGCCAAAACCTTCATTAGTATGTGTAATTTAGTTAGTGTATACGATTAAACACACACACACACACACACACACACACACGAGTCGTCGCTAATAGACTTGTAAACACAGACTAACTACTGTTAATATTGTGTTAGTCAATAATATAATGAATTATTTACGTAAAAAAAAACTAAGAGAACAGTTTGGACTATTTATCGGAACGGATTTCGTATTATTTTAATGAAATTACAGAAGAAAGCAATTTTGATATTCTTGGTTGTATATCATTCACTTTACGTTAGAATTAAATTATACTGCATTGTTTATTAAATAGATTTATCTTATTGTGAGTATTTTATTTATCAAAAACAAGGCAAAATTATCATAATATCTACTTCTATCAAGATTTCAGACTTATTCTAATAAAAAAATACGTAGTTGCAACCAGACGAGTTAAAGTCTTTTTAAATTCCATAGACGCGGTAAATACTAAGTACTGTAATGTATTGTGAAAGGTAACTCACCACAGTGCTCGCCAGCAGGACGATCCGCGCTGGGAAGGTCGCCACCCACATGATGACGGCAACTCTCTGTAACGTTGAGAAAAAATTATTGAGGTAAATAGCCCACGGCAGCTCTCGTGGTACACAGTGCACCTCCCTCACCACCTATTGTGTTTACATGTTGGTGAAGCTAATGTGAGCCTCTAAGTTAGCTTGTGTTTACGTGTTGATGAAGCTAATGTGAGCCTCTAATTTAGCTTGTGTTTATGTGTTGGTAAAGCTAATGTGAGCCTCTAAGTTAGCTTGTGTTTACGTGTTGATGAAGCTGTGAGCCTCTAAGTTAGCTTGTGTTTACGTGTTGATGAAGCTAATGTGAGCCTCTAAGTTAGCATTGTGTTTACATGTTGGTGAAGCTAATGTGAGCCTCTAAGTTAGCTTCACCTATACGTAAATAAATGTAATGTGTGACTCAGATATTTTATACCTCTTTACTTTAAGGTGAATTTCGAATCAGGGTTAACGTAATATGTTGTGTATTTTTATATCACAGGAAATATAATCCCTTGTAATGTAAGACAATAGGCATTGCTAATTTCCTGTATCTAACGTAACATAAGTATAAAATGTATTATTTTGATCTTACTGAGAGATAATCACCTAATTCTTATTCGCCTCAAGATATATATGATAATTTAGTGTAAGTTTACGTAGAATTTGATATTTTCTTAGGAATTTATTAAGCGTAAGACATATTTACCCTGCACTTAATGTTTGCTGGGGGAATTTAACTCAGTGAGGTGCGGCACTTGGTAACGGTAGAGGGAAGGTGTTGGTTCACCTGTGTCTGTAAATGTGTCAAAATATTGGATTTATTCTAGATGTGACCACAGACCGATATTTTCCCAGAGTCTCGGGGTCTCTTAACAAGGTCTTGACTGTGTTGTTGTTTTCATTGTTTATTTTATTTTCCACAATAGAAGATGCTTTAGTGTTGTTTGAGGGAGGATGAGGAGGGAGTGTGATTTAAAGTGAACTGACGTTATCAACACATTAAAATAAGAAACTCCGTATTTTAGATGAAGAAAATAAGGATGATGATGATGAGATGAAGAGAAGAGAGCAGTTCTGAAGATGGAAGACGGTGTAAGAGGAAGGTAAAGTTAGGAAGTGGGAAATAAAATGGGAGATTTGATAACAGGTGAATGAGCTATCCACCTTGTAGGGAGACGGGTAAGTATTATTTCTCCCCCGTTCCCACTCATTGATGCCTATAGAACTGTTAGTAATATAGACAGAACTAGTTCATCAAGATGGAGCCACTTAGAGAAAAAAGAACGTCAAATACATAAATTAAATAGCCCTGCCAGATTTTCCTTTTTTTATATAATACCTGTAGATGGAAAATGGAGAACACTTGCGGGTTTATGTGGAGTGATTTAATTTTATTTTTTTATGTATAAGGTGAGGTGATCCAACTAATATATCCCTACCAGATCTAAACCAACTGTGTTATGTCATTCTTTGGGTGTTAGCATCTGTATGTGTTCAGTTCTGGAGGGTTACGGTACTAAGTTTAAAATTTCTCTCGTGTTCCGGTCTTAGTAGAGCGTGGATAAGTATTCATTAATCTTATCAGGTATATCAAGTTATCTTCAGTTTAAAATAAACCAATATTAACACACACACACACAGTGGTCTCATGGTGTTGTTTTACAGGGTGGGAACGCACAGCAAGAGCCTCAGTTGGTGTTTTATGCCACTGTGTGTTTCCTAGTAAATGTATTCTCATATTTTTTTTTAGGCTATCCGTCTCTTAGTATTTTGATTTATAGTTTATTAGCTATATTCTTTTTATTGTGTTTAGTTAAAGAAGTGGGAATAAACGTACAACTTGCAGGAGAATAAAAAGTGAAGGAAATGATGACTGATTTGGTATCAAGTATCAGGTAAATTAACCAGGTAAGTTCTTTTAATTTACTTTACCTGAGGCGGTGTTAGAATGGTGGGGTGGGGTGAGGGGAGGGAAGGTTAGGTTAGTGGTGGTTAATTTTATGGTGAAATAAGCTGGGCTGTTAAATCTTCAGGAGGTTCTTTTTAATCATCCATCGTACAGTAAGTCAGTGAACCCAGCCCTGCATATATCCGGTTAGGGCAGTGTTAACCTTTTGAAGGGCATCTCATAAACCATCTTGTTGTTGACCTTACCGAGCCGAGAATAACTTACCTCCTTGTGTGTCTTAGGGAGTTATCTAATCTTATAACAGTTATTAACTGTTTTGTTATTTTCAGACTAAATTTTTCGCTTTTATTTTCACATTAAAACTGACAGATACTCAGCTAAGATACTTCATACTGTATCAACTCGAGTTACGAAAGTTCATTAAAATAAAACTATGAATCTTACATAGTGAACTTAGTTAAGACGTTAATCCACGATGCATAGTTTACAGAGTACAATCAGCGAGTCTGGTCAATTCTCCCAGGTAACATATGGAGACTAGTTGGATGCTGCCTCTAAGCTTCCTGTACTCTCTGCGTGTGTTGTGATACCTAATCCAGAGAGCATTGACTGCAGGCTCACAGGGACACGACACTCACAAGAGAATTCATAAGCTTTCAGCCAATCTTCCTGTTATGATCCGTTAGCACATTACATGAGCTTCCTGTAACAAAAAGTGGTCTTTATTTATACGTCAGAGTGAAGTTGTGATTATGCTGTACGTGTTACTTCAAGTCGTTCATATATTATATCTTAAGGTGTTAGATAAGACATGCTGACGTAGCCACCAAGTCGAGTACATTCCAATTTAAAGTTTACTGTATATTAACGTAAGAGGTGGAAGACATTAACTAGTGAGTGACCAATACTACTGTATATAACAATGATGGAAAACAAGACAGAAAATAGCCAACACAAGACATAGACATTATTAGGTTTTGGTGGTAGAAACGATAATTCACGAGTAGAGTCCATAGAGCTTGGATTAACACCTACTGTCTGTCTGTGTATCTCTCTGCGTCTAAGGTAGTTTATGGATCACCTGAAGTAGATTATCCTCACCTAACTTATTTCACCTAAAGATTAACCACCCTGATACTATTTGGAGGGATGAGGTTAGGTTAGATTAGATTAGATCAATGTTAGGTTAGGTTAACATTACGATGGTTAATATTTCTATGAAATAAACTTAAGGGGGATAATCTTCAGGTGATCCAACTTATTTAAATACTTGTGTTAAATACAGGTAGTTTAATCCCCTTCAAGAATACTCACTTAAATCCAAACATATAATTACCTTAATAACATCAACATTAAAACACTTACAATGACTTAATTACCTATGGAAAAAATATAAATATACCTTGTAATATATTAGGAGAGAGAATGTTTTATTTGTGTTTGTTTTGTGGTGTTTTATGTTTTTTTTGCTTTGTTTTTGTTGTGTTTGCATTTTGTTTTTTTGTTTTTGTGTTTTTGCTTTGTTTTTGTTTTGTTTTTAGTGTTTTTTTATATGTATCCTGTAGGTAAGATTCCAGACAAACTGATGGTGGACTGAAAGACACCTTAATGGTTTACATCTGGAACCAACCTTGACTCAAAAAAAATAAACCTCATATATGTTAAGAATTATCCACGACCGCCAGAAATCCGCGAACCAACTCATAATTCTTAATGTTAAGTTGTTAGTATTGTTGATGTGTTTATAATGTTAATTTTTTGTTCAGTGGATAACTTTGATTTTAACAATTTCATCAGTTGTCTCATTAAATTTTAAGTAATTACTGTATTAAACTAAATGACTCATATATATCTAGCTGTCGGGGTTAATTTCACTGAGATGTGGATTATAGTTTGACTGTCTTTTTTTTTTACCCACGGTGTGAATAATAGCAATAATTATCTCTTTTATAACACCTGCCAGAAGCACGCAAGGTAACATCATTCTCACTTTTCTATATTATTTTTCCTTAATTTTTTATCCAGAATGTGTAAGTCGCTATAATATTCATTGCGATTATTTTACTTAGGTCTAAATATTCTGTCGGGAATTAATTTAAATCTCAACTCAACAATAACCACAAAATAAAACACGAATTACTCACCTCTTTAACAATATCCTTATGGGTAATTTATTTATCTATTGTATATTATAGTTAACACAAGATAACACCGAGAGAAAAAAAAATATATAGAGCGAATCCCCACCAGACTATGCGAGAGACTGGTTGTGAGGAGCTGCCGCACTGTTCCGCGTGAAGCTGTGAACTGAAGATGATCTCGTGGAACACTGCCAGCCGCCAGCCCACCCACCTACTCACTCGCTCGCTCGCCACGCCAACAAGTTCTTCCAGTTTATTATTCGCCACAACACATTTATAAAATTTAGATAATCTTATATTACGTTGTTTGGATATTAAATAATTTACTTGTTTTTCTTCTAAAGTAAACATGTTTCAAGGTCAGTAGAGTATTATAAAGAAAAATAATAATAATAATTCCAAGGCTTCTCGGCTGGCGGCAGTGAACTTGACCCTGACCGTGGGCAGTGGGATGGCTAAACCCTCGTTGTAGTAAACTGCACCTGAAATAATTACTGTTTGTGCTTTTTGGTTTTGTGGCTCAGATCTCATACTTTGTTTGAATTTCCTTTACTTTTGTCTTTATTAATTTTATGTGATGAATGAAGTAGTTGTGAATTATAATGATCTTTCTAGTATGTAATTTACCTTAGGTTCCTCTCTCGTTTTTATCATTCTCACCTCCTCCATTCACCTTCTTATCTTTGACCATCTCTCTCTCTCTCTCTCTCTCTCTCTCTCTCCTTATACCACCACTTATTTTCTTGTCCCTCAAACTATCAACACGCACACACACACACACACACACACACACACACACACACACACCACAGACCTGAGATAAAGTTACACACCTGAATAATTAGATCATATCACGTTAAGATTAGACACCCCGACTTATTTCACCTTAAGATTAACCACACCTAGACTAACCTAACCTAAACTAAACTAACCCAAACTAAACTAACCTAACTCAAATTGTCCAGAGAACGAATAAGCAAGCGTCTGATTTTATATTCCGATGTCAAAACTTTACCCTGAAAATGAATGAAGAGAAACACATTATATCCGTCATAGATAAGAATCAAGAGGTTGTATATATAAATAAAAACAGCGGGAGAGGTGATGCGGTGTGGTGTTAGGGAGAGTAGTGGAAGCCAAGGTGACACTAGGGTAGTGATTCAGGGATAAGCAGCCTCGTAAAAAAATCTAAACGAACCATTTACTGTGTTATGTGGAGAATCCCCCCAAGTGACCACAGCCACGCACACGTCGATGTATACAACCACACGTACAGCCAGCCGTGCACGCCTGGATAAAAGAGACGTGTAGACATTGGCAAGCATAGATACATTTATCCACGCACGAACGACCATCTTACCATCACCACTGTAACAACCACACACACACATATACACACACACACACACATACACACATACATACACACGCACGCATACACATACACACATACATACATACACACACGCACGCACACACATACACACACACGCGAAGACACGGCACAAGCGAAGGTAGCCCGCGGCACGACTTAGCCTTGACGCCTAGCTGTGAAGGGGAGGGAGTACTGGCCGTATTACTGGGGTGTGCCAACGGGAGGAATGTACTGCCGCGGTAAGTTATCAAAAGACACTTCCGGAGTAATCTTGATGTGTTACTTAGGATCATACAGGGAATATAAAGCTAAAACGCCCTAAAAAAGATTACAAATGAATTTAATGTAATAAAGATTCCGTAATGAAGCAGAACTTGTACACACACACACACACACACACACACACACACACACATTACGGGTGTATATGGACGTGTACATGTCGTATATATTCACATCAGAGACAATTATAACCTCGCATATTTTGTTCCGTCCATTTAATGTAGCCTGACACGGAACTCGCTGCTCATTCTTTATTCCGCCCGGGACACCTCATGGGACTGACTGGATATGCGCGGTCGTATCTGGTGGTGACAGCATTCTTCGTCCCTGGGGTTGGTTGAGTCGCCGCCACTTATCTTTATAGACAAGGTTGCAATAGTGTTCGGTTTACATGCCAATATTTACAACACACAAACGCATTATGGCTGGAGTACCTTGTCCCCGTCGATCATGATATTATTATTATTATTATTATTATTATTATTATTATTATTATTATTATTATTATTCCCGTATGTAATTATATAGTAGTAGGAGGAGGAGGAGGAGGAGGGAGTTGTATGGTTGTAGGAGCTGGGCGTTGGGTTGACGGTCTCAGTTCTGTTACTTAATGATATGTCTTGATAGTGTGTGTGTGTGTGTGTGTGTATGGGGCTTTCCGGGCACCATGAGTGTATGAACAACAAGGTGTGTGTGTGTGTGTGTGGGTGTACCAGTAGTGTAGCGTGAGGGTCAGGTGTGTGGCCTTGGCCCTGAAGCCTTGACGTACCTTGGCCTTCTCCTCCTTGCTCCTCCTCCTCCCTGCTACCCCTTCTCCTCCACCTCCTCCTGCTTATCCCAGTACCCCTTTCCTCCTCTCCCTCTTCCTCTTCAATATTCGATAAGTAAACTCTGGTAATTGGTCTTATAAGGAGAAATACATTGCATAATTTATATAACTGGTTCATCTTATTTACTAGTACACTCCAACCGTTTATTTACAGACTTTAGTAATGTTTATTTGACCTTGAGTTATATATTTAGTTAATAATTGAAGGAAAAAAATCGACTGCTGGTTGTTAAATGATGACTGTGTTTACTCTCGCTCAACAGAATACAGCGATGTTTACTTCCGCTTTCGTCACCTCGCGTTCTTCCTCCTTCTCCTCTTCTCCCCCCCCCTTCCTCCTCCTTTCGTCACCTCGCACGTTCTTCCTCCTTCTCCTCTTCTTCTCCCTCCCCCCCTTCCTCCTCCTCCTCTTGTTCTTGTTAAGTCAGTCGCCGCCTCCGTCTCGCCCCCACTTTATATATTCTTAACCTGTGACTTGCCCTCATTCCTTACCTTCTTTAGTGTATAGTTCACTTCCTTCTCTCTCCTTCCTGCGCCCATACCCTCTTCTACCTACCCACCCACCTACTTATCACCTCTTACCTCCCTTCTCTCACTCCTTACCTACATCCTTTATCCACCCTCTGGTACTCCACACCCTATTTCTACCTACCTTTCCCCACCTTCCTCAGCCACACCCTCTAACACCCACCTTTGCTCGCTCCACACCTCGTTTCTACCTACCTTCCCTCACCCACATCCTGTAACACCCACCTTTCATCACCCACTCCCTATTTTCACCCACCCTCCCGGAAGGTAGATGAAGGGTCATATAGATAAGAAATGGTAAAATGCAAGGTTAGGTTAGGTCAGAGGTTAGGTTAGATTAGGTTAAGTTAGGTCAGGTTAGATTAGGTTAGGTTAATTTAGATTATATTACGTGAGATTAGGTTAGGTTAATTTAGATTAGGTTAGGTTAGATTAGATTTGTTTAAGCTATAATTTAAATCATATTAGGTGAGATTAAATTAGCGTTAGGTTACGTTAGATTATATTAAGTGAGATTAGGTTAGGTTAGGTTAGGTTAGGTTAGGTTATATTAAGTGAGATTAGGTTAGGTAAGCGTTAGGGATGGTTGATTCATGACTTGAAATAAACTTGGGTGCCTAATTTTCAGGTGATCCCACTATCTGTACATCGGCACTGCCTATGTACAGTGTTAAACCAATGTTAACTTGTATGATGAGTTTACTGAACAAATATCTATCTATTTTTCTGTCTGTCTGTTTATCTCTCTTATCGCATTATCCTTCCTCCTCCCACCTACTTAGCTAGCATCTCTCCATTGCAGATTATACATGCACTGGAGGGAGGAGGAGAGGAACTGTGAGAGAGCAGAGGCGAAGGAAGATATGAGAGAGTTCTCAGTGGTTTGTTAATTTAGCATTCAGGAGAGTTAATCTTGAAATAAAAATGGCAGAGGGACTGATATTTGTAAAGTCTTGGTTCCCACACACAGCTTCCTCTCGGGGCTACATTCTTCTTTCGTCTCACAAAAACTCTGAAACCTAACCTAACCTAAAGGGAAGGATACAGGGAGAAAGAAGCTGAGGAACCTGTGTGTGGCGGCAGAACAAAAAAAATCAAGTTAGTCTTACAAGGAAGGATACAGTGTTACAAACGTCCCTGCCTCCTCGCCCTCTTCACCGTCCCTGCCTCCTCGCCCTCTTCACCGTCCCTGCCTCCTCGCCCTCTTCACCGTCACTGTCTCCTTTGACCACCACCTTCTGCTGTTTTTATACTCAAGTAGGAGAGAGAGAGAGAGAGAGAGAGAGAGAGAGAGTTTAGGGTAAGCTCAAGTTTAATGAAGCGTCCACATCCTCTTCAGATTTTTTTAGCCCCCAGAAACAAGATGACAAACCTTCCCTCGACCACCACATAATTAAAACACAAGAGAATATTTTTATTTTAATTCAATAGACTAAAATTTCCCGGTAAGATTTTCTCAGTGATTTTTATAAACTTTGGTGGTTCGTATTATCGCCTTTAGGAACCCTTGCGGCTTGATTCTCGGTTTCTGGGATTCTTGTGTGTTTATTTATGATTCTGAAGTTCTTGATTCACGTTATCTCACTTCCTCTCAGAGCTCCAAGAGATGTCATGAAGGTCTCGTTGATCATAAACTTTTCTTACATGTCTAATTTCAAGTCTCTCGTAGTATATTATCATCAAATCATCTACAACTCTACAAACATTTCATGGTATTATCCGCGTCAAAGTACCTTAGACTTCATGAACTATACATGGGAGGTCATGAATTTATGCTGGAAGTGTAAGGAAGCGTCGTCACAGGTAAAGGTGGCAGAGGAGTTTGACTTGCAAGGTTTCTTTTATCCTGATCACGTTCACTAGCCTACGTTGTGAGCAGCCAACCGAGACCCGGATGTGTAAACGTTCTTGGGTTTATTTTTTTTTTTACCCATCGATTTGGAGATGTGAAGAATGTATTTAGTCCACATCTTAACCCCATGAGTCTTGGAGGGTTAAATCATCGTCCTCAAAATGTTTAAATCATTATCGTCAAAAGGTTAAACTCGGGTAAAGACTAAGTTAACCAGAATGCCTTAAAAATTACTCTAAAGTTCAATCGTAATTTGTTTTCTTATTCGTTGTTTAATTGAAGGTACGAATGTTTGATAAATCGTGTGGTC